GTCACACTGACAGACGTAGTCATATTGGTTAGCCGTACCCCCACACTGGTCAGCGCATGTCGAGTACACCGGGCAGTCAACTGCTCGCTTTTTGTTAACAACCAAACTGTCATTTCCATAACTAGGTGCCGTATCGTTAGACTGACTGGTGTTGGGTTGGGCACCACGGCTTACAGCAGGAACGGTGACATCAAGTACTGTAGGCTGCTGCAAGTCAGAACCTTCCTGGGCTGCGGTAGTTCTCTCTTGCTGCCCGTAGTCTGCTCCATAGCTAAACGAACGGCTTGGACCTGTTAAAATGAGCTTGTGTTAAAAATGGTTCAGCTCAGAATTAAGTCTTAACGAGGGAGGTTAAATCGTGTAGTTTGTTGTGTTGGTGTATTTAAAATTTAAATATAGCCAATACACTCAAAAACAAATCATGGCAACAAGAGAAAGCTTATTGTGTTTAAATGCTTATATATTTAGTCAAAAGCCTTGTTGGCTACCTAACAGTATACCTACGCGTAGAGCGTGATATAGAGATATAATTTAGTGTGTAGGTGACAAGGAAAGAGTGATTTTCAGAAATAAATTCTTTGCTCTTTCATATTTTTAATATTCTAAACATTGAAAACTCCGTCACTGATGTTTTGTAATATGCGTTTTGGGTAGGATGCAACACATCGAAGATGGTTACTATTATAAGGGATACTATGAAGACTGAGTAACCACAATTTAGCTTAATTAAAATTGTACCTACCCGCAATGAACACACATACTGTCACTGCTAGTTGAATTATTTTTACGTCCACAAACCTCATACTGTGAGGACGATATTCTATGGGTCACACAGAAGAAAATTCCAATCAATTTATTCGGTAATTATAAATGAAAGTAAATTACAATATTCTTAGTGTATCTAATAAAACCCAAAGCTTTCGTTGTTCTACTCTTGCTTTTTAAAATTTATATTTTATCCAGGACTACTGTTTTCTTAGCAAGCTAGCTAGTTAAATTTTTTCTATCACTTATTCATCTTCACACGATTGTAGTTTTCTTAGTATACGACATCTGCGTCTCAAAGTTCGAATAGTGAGACATTCATCTCAATACGACAACAATTTTCTTTGTGTATAGGTCTAGGACGCAAACCTTTTAACGCTACTCTTTCTGATCACCTACGCCCATCTAATCACCTCACAACTCTCCCGTCATCGTACGCTGGCAACACTTTCATAAATCACGCTTTTTGTTTTACTAATAACTAACTTTAAAGGGTGACCATAATTGCACGAACTAATGCCGTAATTTCATCCCCGTTTGTGTAAATGGATTCATCACAAACACTCGTAGTGTCCCATTAGTTGTGTTTACATTGTACGTTAAACGCGTTTATCATGTTGACGAAGCACTAAACGTTACATTGTTCAATAGCTATACGTTCTTAAATGTGGGCTGCTATCTCTGTCGATGGCGGACGAAAGGGGATGGCAAGTTAGACTGCATTCAGGGGCCCCAATTTTCAGGACCTGCAAATTTGTGGACCAATCTTATTTTTTAATATGAAATATACACTTTGTGATAGGAATTTTTCCACACACGAATTTTGCTCTAGCTTAATCCCCCTATGCAGGTAGGTACCTAATCGAGAAATAGTGGTCGCTCTCAAACAATCCGCCCATGAATATATAGGTATCTATATGTATCTGGTTAGCCAATCGAATTATCGAGGGCTTCATTGATGCATAATACGGCAATGGATATCGTTAGCTAATCGAGTAATCGTGGACACTACTGTAGCATAAACTACACCATGGGTATCGTAGTTAATCGAGTAATTGTGGGCACCACTGTAGCATAATCTACCCTATGGTATCGTTAGCTACTCGAGTAATCGTGGACACTACTGTAGCATAAACCACACCATGGGTATCGTAGTTAATCGAGTAATTGTGGGCTTCACTGATGCATAATCCACCATATGGTATCGTTAGCTACTCAAGTAATCGTGGACACCACTTTAGCATAATCCACCCTATGGTATCGTTAGTTAATTGAGTAATCGTGGACACCACTGTAGCATAATCCACCATATGGTATCGTTAGTTAATGGAGTAATCGTGGACACCACTGTAGCATAATCCACCCCAATGGATATCGTTAGCTAATCGAGTAATCGTGGGCACCACTGTAGCATAATCCACCTATGAGTATTGTAGTTAATCGAGCAATCGTGGAATACGATTTTTAAGTAGCCATTAGCACGTTCTAAAACTCACCCTCCACGCCTAATGGCAAAGGGTGTGGAGCGTGTTTCTATTGTCGCACGGTGAGTACCTCTGATCGGCACCGGAACTTTGAAGATGTTTGATTGCATCATGATCGTTCACTCAACTCTTCCATGGCCCAGAATTCTCTGTGTGAAGCTCATCAGTAGTCAACATGAGTTATTTTATGTAAAGTGCCCATCTCAACAAAGAGATATTTTTTTGTCACACATCGTCACGAAAATATCAGACTCGAGACACTTAAACGACGTCACTGTCAAAATATCTCCTCTGCTCAATAAAACGAAGCCACTTTTTTGTTTGTTTGCATCCCTCTCTCTTTAAAAAATACAATATTTGCTGGGTTACAGTTTGGGAGCAGCTCCGGCCCTTAAATGCCGTTTTCGGACCGTAGAGCGCATGACTGCTTGCCAGAAAGTCTTGAGTTCGGATCCCGTTTTGGAGTCTGTAGTACGTCCCTGAGGCCACCCAGCTTTGATGGGTACCGGACTCGGGTATAGAAAGTAAAGGCGGCTGCTCATAGAACTGACCATAGTTTTTATTAAAAGGAAATATTACATTAAAAAAGACATAAAAATATATTATTAGCCCTTTAGACCCCCAAGGTCCCATAGGGTATCCTTCACGTAACACACCAGTACAGAACTAACTCTTTTCGTTGTGTAATATGTTTTATTGACCCTTATTTTTCATACACCAGTTTCTGAATTTTTAAATATTTTTTCTATCAAACCGTGCAGAATTATTTTTTTTTAGATTTTAAAAATGTACTTCTGTGACCAAAAACAACATGCGTAATTCAAAACATTACTAGGATTAAAAAAAAAAGAATATAAATAAATTGGCTCTTCCTTTTTCTCACTATTGTATTTTCTTTCATTTTAATTCTCCGAAGAACAAAAAAAAACTTGATGAAAGATTTGATAATGTGCGCCCCCTCTCGTGTAGCACACTGTACTATAAACATACCTTGTCCGGCCCTGTTAGATGGGCGTACAACGTTAGGTAAACAATCTCCTCTCGCTTGATGCTGGTGGAGATAGGTTCATATTCTTCTTCTTCTTCTTTGTGTTGCTGTTTAGGTGGGGAAAGGGGGGGGGGGGTGGTAGAATTAGGTTCATATTTTTCTTCTTGTTCTTTGTGTTTTTATTTAGGTGGGTTAGGGGGGGGGGGCGGTGGTAGAGTTAGGTTCATATTCTTCTTCTTCTTCTTGCTGTTTAGGTGGGGAAGGGGGGGGTGGTGGTAGAGTTAGGTTCATATTTTCCTTCTTTTTGTGTTGCTGTTTAGGTGGCGAAAGGGGGGGGGGGGTGGTAGAGGTAGGTTCATATTTTCCTTCTTTTTGTGTTGCTGTTTAGGTGGGGAAGGGGGGGGGGGGGTGTTGGTAGAGTTAGGTTCACATTTTTCTTCTTTTTTGTGTTGCTGTTTAGGTGGCGAAGGGGGGGGGGGGGTGGTGGTAGAGTTAGGTTCACATTTTTCTTCTTGTTCTTTTTTGTCTAAGTGGGAAAGGGGGAGTAATGGTAGGTAGGTTCACTTTTTAAAATTCTTGTTCTGTGTGTTTGTGTTTAGGTGAGTGGGTGGGGGTAGAGTTCGGGGTGTGTGGGTGTGTGGGTGGGGGTAGAGTTCGGTTCACGTTTCTCTTTTTGTTCTTGTGGGGGCGAATGGGGAAGGTCGGGTCGAATTCTAATGTAGATACTGATCTAACTATAGATAATACATTGTTTTAGTTAGCTCTCTCATACCAAGATATACAAGACGGTTTTGTTATTCTGATTGCGTTTGTATCGTAAACACGTGTAAACCAAAGAACTATATTTGCCGCTCTATAAATAGTTAGCCAGGTGGCAAGCCATTTAGTGAGCTGTGTATAATATGTAGCTGTCAATAATCAGGAATGAAGGACGTGATGTTTTACCAGAAAATCGCCGTACTGCACTTGAAGTAGTAGCAGGTTAGATCAACATAGATTTTAACCAAGGAGAAAAAATAGTTTGATCCTACGTCCTTTTACTTTCTAGTAACGTTAGTTATAAGAAGTATCTAATTGTAAATGATCAGTGGGATAAATGAAGTAGAGTCCATCTGTTTATGTGACTGGTAGGCCTATATGGCAGATTTTGTGTCCTTTCTCTGAAGTATCTCACCATACTCCATGATCTAACAAACGCTATACTGTGTTGGGCCTTGATTACATATGGCTGTAATGGCTGTAGATTTTATACTGTATCTCGTATACGGTCAGTACCAGCTTAAAAGCAATGCATATTGGCCAGTCAGACTGGAACTGTTAAAGACTTGAGCATTTCTCTCGTCCATATCTCCTAGCCGCTAAACCCGTGGGTTTCAGCAGGCTTTTGCTTCCTCTAGCAGTACACGGCATCATCTGGTTTGGACATGAGGCGCAGATCAGTCAGTGGACGGCCAACGGGCTGGAACCATGAGTTTCCGAACTCTTGCCTATCGGGTTAGCTAGCGCGCGCTCTACCGCTTGACCGCGCCGTCCCAAAATTATTGACTACACTCCCATACAATACACCTAGTTTGGTGTGTGGTAAAAATTTTCATTTTTTAAATATTGCTCTTCACAGTTGCATTGAGTAAAATGCATGCCCTGTTTTCCTATCTGCTTTGTTACAAGGGCTAGAAGCTTCATAACACCACTAGTAAGAGAAATAATTATACAACACTTGTTATTGTACGATATTTATTTTAGATTTAAAACATGTTAAAATATTTCTGACAAAACACTGAGGCATGTTTTAGTAGCGATTGGGTTCTCTCTCGTCACACTCATGATAATAACGATAATAAGTCAATTAAAATTATATACTATAATTCAAATAACGATGAGCATAAAATCACAGCTGCTTAAACCGTTACACACGTTTATTTTTGTTCCTGTTTTTTTTTCTTGCTATATTCTAAGAGAAACCTCATAACAAACCTCAAGTACAAACGGTTATCACGGATCCTTAAAGTCATTAGTGTTTGGTTAGCACGTCTGATTTTCCTGGCTCGTCGACCTCGTGTGGTCCTTGTTCTCTGGGTCACTGGTTAAGTTCATGTTGGACATAATCATATCAACACAACTTGGCAATAGCTGATGACAGCTGCGCTTTAGTTCATTACAGTTGAGCTATTGCTAATTACAGCTGATCTATAGTTGATTATAGTGGAGCTATAGCTGATTACAGCTGAGCTATTTGAGCGTTGACAGCCAGCGGGATGTTCCTCAACGACGTGACGGTGCTCTTGGTCAGGTTGCTGGACTGTGTCCTGTTGGATGGGTTCTTCCTGTACGCCTGTGATCCACCGGTCCCCTGGAGTAACCCCTGGACGTGCTTCTTCAGCTTGACCATCACAGACTTCCTGGCGATGTAGCTCAGGAAGATGAAGAGCCCTTGGCTGCCGTTGGTCAGGATGAAGATGGTCCACACAAGCGTCGTCCCAACAGCAATGGCCACGAAATAAAATACCCAGTTTACTCCCATCATGAGAGATAAGTTTATACAAAGAATTATTTGATTTTTCTCCCCTTTTTGGTGTTGGGAGTTCTTGTTCCTGAATTCCGAACTTTGTCTGATGGCTCGAAGAACGAATACAGCGCTGAGGAATGTTAATGATAGTAGAAGAAACAAGGGGACGCCGAACCCAACTATCATGGTCGTGAAATCTCCAATCCAGCAGATTCCGTTGTATCCATATTTAACAGGAGACGTGTTTGTTATGTGAAGTATAAAACAAGTTCCGGCTATGGAGGCAGGGATTCCCCAACATAGGATAGAGAAGAAATAAAATATTGTAGACCGGGATGGGTCAAGCCATCCATGTGATTGTAGGTGTAGAACACAGGCCAGATGTAGGGACATGGCAGCCAGCCAGGCAAAGGACGCCAGCCATACAGCGTGGTGTAAGGCAGCGTAGATCTCACAGGCCAGGCCCTGGGGGTACGTGCAACACAGGAACATCGTCTGGGCCACAAGGAGAGCAGACGACATGGACATGACGATTTTACCAGGCACGTTTCTCAGTTCTGGCACCAGCCCGTAGACGGCGATGGTGACGACGAGACAGATGATGGAGACGCTGAAAGCAATAATGGTGCTGACCCGCTCTACATCCGAGCTTGGAACATACATCATAACATTCGCGGATGTGTTCAGTACGTATGTCGTGTTGAAATCAGAACATATATAGGCGCCGTCGTCGTCCAGTGCGTACGTTCCAGTTTTATACAAATACACATATTCATTAGCGTACCTATCTTTATAACTTGCAATTAAATCTTGTACTGTTTTAGTAGGTTTGCCACTGTCCCTGTCAAGTTGTGTAACGTTCATGAAATGTTGAGTATTCTCCGGTATAATGATAGTCTTCATGTAGAGAACATATTCTGATTTATTCACAAAGACATAGTCACATTCACAATATCGCACGACAGCCTTGGTCACCTGACCTTCCGTGATCACGTGATTTGGCTGGAGGTTTAACGTAAACAAGAACTGGCTCAGTGGATAGCTCGAAGACTCTGAGCCAACCTGGTAGTTTCCCTTTTCGTTAAGAGTTAACCCGACTACCTTTGTTTGAGGTTTTCTCCCTTGTGGGCAAGCCAGCTCGGTTACCTTCGTTACCTTCGCTTTGGACGAGTTACTGCCCCTGCCCGACAACAGCTCGTTGGTGATGGTGATGTTGTGGATATCGAAGTTTTTATCGTGTCCTGCCCGGGTCAGTTCTACGATTAAACTATCTTCTAACTCTGCTAGCACTGTGTCTAATCCTGATGTATCTAGAGACGTAAGCTCGACCGACACACACGTTGCTGTTGTTTTACCAGGACACACATCGATGTTGTTGACTCGCGTCGAGTTGAGTGATAGTCTTCCCATGGTTTCTTTTATACCAGCAAGCAACTTTCTTTGTTCTGATTGCTTGTTTTTGTGTCCTGTTTGTATCATATGCTGAACCCACAAGAAACGAATCGTCTCCTTCAGTTTCCGAGACGGCAACAGAGAGCTAGTTTCTTCTGGTGTGACGGGTGTTTTCGGATGTGACGTTTTTCTGGCACCGTCAAGGATGTACTTGTACTCGATGTTCATCTGCAGGGTGTCGCTGGCATTGAGCAGCGGAGTGGCTCCGATCATTTTCAGCGCCGCGTCGCAATCGTCGTGTGTTCCGTCACACTTTTTTTGACAGCGTCCACTCTGAAGTGTCCAGCCGTTTAGACAGACTAACCTTTGACATGTCTGATGGAAGGGGACGTACACGTGATCGTCGGGACATGTTCTCGTTTCCATAGCAACGGTCTTATTATCCACAGCAGCGGAAATCGACCAGAAGTCGAAGAGAACTCGAAAACTCGGGATACCACCAACAAACGTCGTTGATTTCTCCCCACGGTACAGAGTTAAACACACGCACTTTTGATTTTCACAGTAGTACGCCGCTTGAAAACTTGTATTCACGTTTCGACCATCGGTCTCCGTCTGACACGCCAGGCAGTGGGGGTTTTTGTAGGTGTGTCCCGTGGTTTTGTTGACGTACGGGTACTGGTATCTCATGCAGAGGAGCGTGTTGGCGGACTCGGGGTCCTTGCAGTTCAGGCTGTGTTTTGTCTGCTTGGTGAAGCCGGTCAGCCCGTCGTCTTCCTTTACAACGGTTCTCCTTCTGGTTCCCGGGCTCAGCCGTGCCGACGACGCGTCGAAACATCGCCTGGTATCGTCCGGCAGTTCTAATTTTGTCGTGCATGTGTAGGTCGTTACAGCTTGCGTGATGTTGCTGGCGAATATACGGGCAAAATCGGAATTGTTGAATTTACTGTCACATGGACTGACCGAGTTCCATGGGGTCACTTCTCTTGGGTCCACCCCGTTACAAATCGCGCAGAAAACATTGTAGAAATGGAAATGCCCGCTCGCTATTTTAAGCGTGACGCGTATATCATTCAACGGGTTTTTCCAAATATTCTGGTCTAGGGTTTCAAGTTCTTCACAGCGCTGGATGATTTCCTCTTTGGGAATTCCCAAAAATAAACTCTGGTTTCTTTTGTTTATTTTTAGATAAATACTATCAAACCTGGATGCTGTTTCTTTGTCCCTGTCGCATTTCGTTACAATGTGAACTTGGTTTTTAGGCAAGTCCAGTGACTCGCAAGTAGATAAATGGGATAAGCGTACCCCTTCGTAAAAGCTAAGGAGCTCGGAGTAGGATTTGAGTGTGGATAAGATGGCTTTGAAGACGTCGTCGTCTTTGGCGTAGATGCTGGTGTGGAGGCAGGTGTGGTAGTAGTCGGGGCAGCAGTCGCCGTACACCCAGCACATCACGTCGCAGTGGCAGGTGTCGTTGAGCTGCACCTGGGCCCCGCACATCTGTGCGCAGGTGGGGTATTCGGGGCAGACTAGGGCGTCGCGGTTTTCTCCCTTAGTGTTATGAGGCATTGCTGTGGTTGCGGTCGTTGTGTCTTTAGTCGCCCTTAAAGTTGATGTTGTTGTAGCCCCAAAAGACGGCCGACGTGTTGTTGTCACCTTCGCCCTAGCAGTTGAAGTCCTGTCGGACGATGCTGTGAAAGAAAATATCTTCATTGTTATCAGGAAAACATACCGAGAGAATGTTCAGATACTTTTAATTGCCTCCCTTAACAATATCTTCCATGTACTAGTGATAGAGCGAACTTAATTAATTACTTCTCTTTTTTAGTGTAGTATCCCCTTGATTGGGAAGAATTGTAATCAAGTACAGGAAATCGAAGGGGTGGGGTTTACACACTAACATCCGGTTGTTCTGTTTATGAGTCATTTGCAGCATCATTTACATTAAAGAAAAATCTATTTTTAATCTTGAAATTTCAGCTTCTCTATAGCCGATACAGAGTATTTAATAATGGAAGCAGGACACGTTTTTGTACGCGAAGTCGTTTTTACCAAATACCAAATATATTCATGATTGACATTGTTGGAAGAGTCACTAGCAGTGGCGTAGCTAGGGGAGGGTGGGTGGGGCGGCCGCCCCGGGCGCCGACCCAAAATTAATTTAATAGCTCATTTTAAGCTCATTTTAAGCTGAAGTATTAATTTATATGCGGTCAAAGTTACGAAAATAAACGACTTTTAGGCTTTTCCCATTGATTTTACTGTTTTCTATATCAATTTTGTGGCACCGAAATAGAAAATCTAATGGGATAGTAACTGGTAAGAAGCTCCAAACGTTGCCAATTTATTTATTTATTTACTTGGGGATGGGGGGGGGGGGGGGCGCTTTTTCAAAGACAGGAATAACTATAAATAGAATGGGAAGGAAAGGCGCCGGAATCGGTCGCTACCCCTCTGGTCACTAGGTTTTCATGTCATGTTAAATGGAATAATGGATGACGCCTGTGCACATTTCTCACCCATGACAATATATATATAAAGTTAGCGATTTTTAATCTATGGTTTTGTAAAATGTAGACATACACAGGAATGGGGTGGGGGCTGGGTGTTAGAGCTTTGTGATAATAAATGTTGTTAGCTTGATAACTTGATGTAACAAATCTAGATACATTTCAACACACTGGAAACACATTTTTAAAAGTTTCGTTTTGAAATGCTGAGATTTTCTATATTTAGAACTCATTGCATAACATTACCAGTGTTGTGATTTGACGTGCATGCAAATAAAGAGAAGAATACATACCAACGTGCAGTCCGAGGGAAAGGGCGATGAATAACGCCAATAGAATCGGACTCACTCTAAGTCCCATAACTCTTGTTATTTTCTCTGCTTGTTTATCCACCTTTTTATCCTTTGTTTCTCTTGTATCTAAACACAATTTAAAAATAAAACCTGTTCTGTTATTTTTTATTAGGCGTAATCTCTTAGCTGAACGTAAATAGTATATCTATCTAAATATGTATACGTATATATATATATATATATATATATATATATATATATATATATATATATATATATATATATATATATATATATATATATATATATATATATATAAACAACCCTTAGGATTGAGGGACATTTTAAATTAATGGTTTTAATGTAAAGTAATGACCCAAATCTGACCCATCAACAAGTTAGTACCAATACTTACGACAAGGAAGTGACCCAATATGAATACTGCACTGAGCCAATTCAGCCTCTCCGTGTACCCGGCAGGTGTACATTGATGTAACAAATTAACTGTTTCTACTGTGGTCAGGAGTATGGCAGTATCCAATGCAGTATTTATTTATTTTTTGGTATCGCAGTTTTAGTTTGGATTAAGTCAGGGTAAGGCGAGTTTTTTGTGGGGGGGGGGGGGGGGGTTGCGATTAGTTTACCATGACCTTTTTGGGGAAATGTAAATATCAAAAGATACAGTTTGTGTTCTACAAGAATAGTTCTTCTTCTGGTTTCCATTCAATGTATATATTTCATTACTGTCATATTATTATCTTTGTATTAAATCAGTGTCTTCCTTACAAAGGTTTGTATTAATTAAACATTGAATAAAATATCCATACTTTGAAGGGAAAATATACCTGCACTAGTAAACTGCTTTTATTTTCATAATCGTTAGTTGTTTTAGAAACATGGTAACACGATTATAATTGTTAATAGCGTAAGAATTTATCAAGTTTAATCGAATTGAAAAGTACCTATTCACACACACATATAAATATATAAATATATATATATATATATATATATATATATATATATATATATATATATATATATATATATATATATATATATATATATATATATTTATATATTTATATGTGTGTGTGTGTGTGTTGTAGATAGAGTTACATACGTTTATAAACGTTGTATTTGAGCAACTTACCTTTGTGCCGTATTTTCAATGACCAGGTGAGTCCTGGGAATGTTTTTGTTATGTAACAAACACCGTTCTACCTTGAGACTAATCTGCCCAATAGATCTTCACCGAACCTCCCTTTCCTTTAATAGATAACGTGGAGACTTGCACTTCCGGTGGGTGCACGCCCACCCCACGGTTCCTGTCTCTCGTGACGACATCCGCCCTCGGTGCCTGGCCCGGAGAGTCTGGAGAATTGAGGCATGGGTTTTGTTTACCGCTGGGGGCCCGTGGGACGGGTGCAGTGTTTGGCACGCCGCTGGGTGGTGGTTAAACAACGCAGGGGCACGGTGACCTCGCGTGGGGTCGGGCGGTAACGTGGGGGCGGAGATTTAATACCATAATCGTATCATATCTGAAACAGTAGTTTGGAGGATGGTGATTAATTTGATTAATTAGGTTGGGATTATGGAAATATGTGGCGATGAGTTAAAGATATGACGTTAATACATTATTTTTCACGCCTAAAACTTTCCGTACGTAAGTTAAAGTAATTAGATTAAAAGTTTGGGGTGTTTGGGTCTGAATTTGGAGATAACGATAATGCAGTATGTTCTATTTGAAATAGTAATTTGTAAAGGTTAATGACATTATTAATTAGACTTGAATGGTATGAATATTTGTCGAAGAAAGTATTGTATATTTTTGACAGCAAGATTCTTACAGTATTGGGCTACATGACTTTATCCCCCCCGGACATTCCCCCCCCCCCCCCCCCGAGCAATTACCCCCTAACCCTAACACTAAACTTAACCCTAACCCTAGCCCTAGCCCTAACCCTAGCCCTAACCCTAACTCTAGCCCTAGCCCTAGCCCTAACCCCAACCCTAGCTCTAACCCTAGTTGAACTTTAAGCTATGACCGGGGGGTAATGTCCTATTGGGCTGGGGGTAATTGACATGGGGGGGGGGGAATGACGGGAGGATATCAGGGGAGTAAATTGTAATTGACTGGGGGGGGGGGAATGCCCTGTTCCCGAGTATTGAAAGGTTCATAATTACTTAGGAGTAGTTTTATTCGTGAATCTTTTCCCGAAACTATTTTCTATTTTCAATTAATTAAAACAATTTTTTTCATTTTTACTTAATTAGAAATCACATATCTTCTAATTATTTAACTTGCTACTACTTAAAAAAAAACAGACGTTTTTCTTACGTTTTCTTAAACAAGCTTTTACATAATTGAACTCGATTTACTGCATTTCAAATGTCCCAGATTATGTTAATTTTTTTTTTCTGTCAATGGCACCGGAAGTCGTAGGGCGCCAGGCAGCGGCACCCTATCAGGAAGTGCAGCCTGGTGCTTGGAGCCGTTGAGTACACAATGCACGCAACAAACCTGGGATGAAATAATGAGTAGTTTTAAAAAAACTTAGTTCCTGGGTAAATTCTTTTCTTTCGGCTTAAAGCGTACGTGATCACAGCCTCGCATCCAGTTGATGGGATCGTCTTTGGTGGCTTCAAACATAGAGACACAAATAAATTAAACAGCTGAGTTTTTAAAAAAAAATATTGATTCCTGAATGATGTAATATCTACTTTCTTAAAGTGTACGTGATTAGAGCATTGCATCCAGTTAATGGGATTGTCTTTTGTAGCTTCAAACATGGCTACACAAATAAATGGACCAGAGTTTTTTTTTTAAAATCTTGATTCATGAATGAAGTAATGTCTTCTATCGTAAAGTCGTTGGTAGCTCTCTCGTTACGAGAGTTAGAATTTACTACATAATTGATCCATATGGCTGGATTCATGAACGCTCTACAGAATTGATCCATATGGCTGGATTCATGAACGCTCTACAGAATTGATCCATATGGCTGGATTCATGAACTGTCTATAGAATTGATCCATATGGCTGGATTCATGAACGCTCTACGGAATTGATCCATATGGCTGGATTCATGAGCGCTCTACAGAATTGATCCATATGGCTGGATTCATGAACGCTCTACAGAATTGATCCATATGGCTGGATTCGTGAACTCTCTACAGAATTGATCCATATGGCTAGATTCATGAACGCTCTACAGAATTGATCCATATGGCTGGATTCATGAACGCTCTACAGAATTGATCCATATGGCTGGATTCATGAACGCTCTACAGAATTGATCCATATGGCTGGATTCGTGAACTCTCTACAGAATTGATCCATATGGCTAGATTCATGAACGCTCTACAGAATTGATCCATATGGCTGGATTCATGAACTCTCTACAGAATTGATCCATATGGGCTGGAGTCATTAATTGCATGTTAATCTGAGCTATCCGAATTGAATACTTCTGCGTCATCGACTAAGGTTTAGTAGTCGAGCGTTCAATTACTCGGCCACATCTCTCCATGGTGTCATCCAAACGCACACTTATAAAGTTCTCATTTGGTAGTTTTTCAGCACACCGTCAAAAACAGCAGTCTTACATCTACATCACCAGTCAAGGTATCGTCTCTTCATCAATTAGTGAGAATTCTTTTGTTTTCTGTTGTCTTTATCGGTCAGCTAACCTCGATACATCTGCCTGGAGGTTGATCTGCTGGTGAGATAAATGGCTCATTAAGGGCCGGGCCGTGCCAGTTCCCAAATATTGCCCCAGCCCCGGGATGAATGGCTTCTGTTGTGGCACTGTTTGTTTGAGCATTTGTTGTGCCGGGTCGGCCAACACAGTGAGCTTGGTAGTTCGTGAGTCGGGTGACGTTTTTAAAATAGATGGACGGGGTCACTCGTGATTAAGGTTACGTTTTTAGAACAGGAGGGGTAACTGGTGAGTCAAGTGACGTTTTTATAGCAGGAGGGGTCACTCGTGATTAAGGTTACGTTTTTAGAACAGGAGGGGGTCACTGGTGAGTCAAGTGACGTTTTTATAGCAGGAGGGGTCACTCGTGATTAAGGTTACGTTTTTAGAACAGGAGGGGGTCACTGGTGAGTCAAGTGACGTTTTTATAGCAGGAGGGGTCACTTGTGATTAAGGTTACGTTTTTAGAACAGGAGGGGGTCACTGGTGAGTCAAGTGACGTTTTTATAGCAGGAGGGGTCACTCGTGATTAAGGTTACGTTTTTAGAACAGGAGGGGGGTCACTGGTGAGTCAAGTGACGTTTTTATAGCAGGAGGGGTCACTCGTGATTAAGGTTACGTTTTTAGAACAGGAGGGGGTCACTGGTGAGTCAAGTGACGTTTTTATAGCAGGAGGGGTCACTTGTGATTAATGTGACGTTTTTAGAACAGATGGAAGGGTCACTCGTGATTAAGGTGACGTTTTTAGAACAGGTGGAGGGGTCACTCGTTATTTAGGTGACGTTTTTAGAACAGGTGGAGGGGTCACTCGTGATTTAGGTGACGTTTTTAGAACCGATGCAAGGATCACGTTAGTGCTGGGTAGTTCCCTCCCCACCCCTGCTCACCCAGGGCACAGTGCTAGCTCGTCTTTTATAAGGGGGTCTTTCTTTAAATGTCATGTGACATTTGTGTTTGGAATGGGGTGGGGGCGTCTTTATGTATTTTATTACATCAACATGCGCTGTTTTCACATAGTATAACCATTATACTATTAGATACCTATAGTTTGAGAAGTTTTTACAAATTTTTTTTTGTTTTTTTAAATGTTCCTTTTCAGAAATTAAAAATTCAATTAAAGTAGAAAATTAGTGAAATGGGATTGGATTTTTGAGTTGCCATAATATTTAGCATCTAATTATGATAGACAGGCATGGTGTATGTCCATTTTATAATCTATTCCCCTCACCTTACTCACACTCTCACACACACACACACAGATCGGGTGCCGGTATTTTAAAAGCAATTACCTCACCTGCATGTTTTATGTTCAACCCTTCATGAAATATCACAGGTGGGTCGTAATGTAAACGGGCATCAACATTTCTCAGGGGTGTGTTAAACAGTGTGAGTGTGGGGTGCCCTGGTGTATAAAGGTGTATAGCATGGGGTAGTGTGGGCCCCAGTGTAAGGGTCACTGCGTCTTAACTCGGTTGATGTAAACAGCAAGTCATCGTGCGGTGTTGACAAAATACATAGGCGTTCCAGTGTATAGATGTGCAGAAGTGTGGTGTGAGGAAAGTTGGAGTTTGATAAAACGAAGTGAATGGACCACATGCCCTCACTTTTGCCACATGCTACTACCCCCCCCCCCCCCCCCAGTCCACATGCCTCCTTATAGGCCATATGCCCTCACTTTGGCCACATGCCCTCACTTTAGCCACATGCCCTCACTTTGGCCACATACCCTCACTTTGGCCACCTACCCCCACATAGATCACATACCCCCTCTGGGCCACATACCCCCACTTGGACCACATACCCCCACTTGGGTCACATACCCTCACTTTGGCCACATACCCCCCTGGGCCACATGCCTCTATATTTAGGCCACATGTCCTCACTTTGGCCACATACCCCCCTCAGCAACATGCCCTCACTTTGGCCACATACCCCCACTTGGACCACATACCCCCACTTGGGTCACATACCCTCACTTTGGCCACATACCCCCCTGGGCCACATGCCTCTATATTTAGGCCACATGCCCTCACTTTGGCCACATGCTCTCACTTTGGCCACACGCCCCCCACATGGGCCACATGCCCTCACTTTGGCCACATGCCCTCACTTTGGCCACATACCCTCCCCGGGCCACATGCCCTCACTTTGGCCACATACCCCCCCCCCCCCCCGGCCACATGCCCTCACTTTGGCCACATACCCGCACACAGGCCAAATATTTAGATTTTGATTGTTTTAAAATACCATCAAAGTAAATTAGTATAAAAAGGTCTAAATAAATCAGAGATTTTCTGAAGAAATTCTCAAGTTTTATGAGTGCGTAGATTTAAACAAAACTAATAACTAACATTAAAATTTGTATATACTTTAATTAAACATAATATCTATGGGTTCGTATTATCTTTAGATTCAATCTATGAAACAACTTTTAAAATTGTAAAACTTACTGTCTTTTGTTTTCTGCTTTATTTCATCCATACAAATAAAAATCTGGCCAGCTCAATCCCATTGAGTATTTTCTCTTTCTAGACCAGGAAGTAGCTCTATCAACATCTTATTATTAGGACCGTGTATGATTACAGATTAGCTCAACTAGTTAACAATACCTTGACACAGACTTGTATTCATATGTGTGTTAATCTCCAGTACCAGTGTCTCACTCCCTATGTTCTCAACATACATGCCATGTGTCACCACCTCATTAAGCCTCATTAGTGGCAATCTAGTTGTAATTATGTGACTAACTTGTTGACAAGTGATATTCAATTGTGTTGGTACAATTAAGAACAAAGGAGGAGGGAGATAACCCTACTCTGTAACTACTAAATGGAGAGTTGTGCCCCTTTATTCTTAAAATTATCTGCATTATGAAGATATGGTGACTTTTTTAATAATCAGATTTTTAACTTTAAGATAAAGATAATTTTAAAAATTCTTGAAAACAAATTTTGTTTTAAAAGTCTAATAAGATATATTATTTTTTTTCAGAACCAATTTTTTCATGAAGGAAAACAAGTACTACACAACCCTCAACTTTTGTCTCCCCTTTGCCTACATCATGATCCTGGGGTTCTTTTTCACTGAGAACACTGACAAGGTGGGTTCTGAGGGTTCTTAGGTTGTGAACTTAAAGTGAATCACTTGGGGGAGGGGGGCCCTCATACAGAAGGATGAGTTCCAGTGATAATCAGGTTGTAAACTTAAAGTGATTAACCGTGGGGGGGGGGGGGGGATATTATCCAAATGGATGAGTTCCAGTGGTTACTAGATTGTGTATGCATGAAGACATACTGTGGTAAAAGGAGGTGAGGGCATCATCCAGAAGCCAGACTGGAAACTACCTTGTGATGTTTCTTAAATAACTTGAGCAAGTAACTCATGCAAGCATATTTGTCTCATTCATGATGCAGTCATGTTTTACCCATCATCATACAGTCATGTTTTACCCAATCATCATACAGTCATGTTTTATTCAGTCATCATACAGTCATGTTTTATTCAGTCATCATACAGTCACATTTGTGTCAGTCATCATGCAGTCATGTTAGTCATAGTCATCATGTAGTCATATTTGTGTCAGTCATGCAGTCATGTTTTACCCAGTCATCATTTAGTCATGTTTTACCCAGTCATTATGCAGTCATGTTTGTCCCAGTCATCATTCAGTCAGGTTTTACCCAGTCATCATACAGTCATGTTTGTCCCAGTCATAATGCAGTCATATTTGTCTCAGTCATGCAATCATGTTTTACCCAGTCATCATACAGTTGTGCTTGTACATATCCAGGTGACTGTGCTACACAGAGACCAGACTGATGAATGGAAAGGCTGGATGCAGCTGGTGATACTGATATACCACTTAACCGGTGCCAGCAAGGTTAGCTCCCACATACATTTCTCTTGTAATGTATTAATCAACCAGATTACGTTTATATTATTCCCATATGTTGTTTAAAGGGGCAGTGTGGTCAAATGGTAGAGTGCTCAGCTGCTAGTCTTCAGTTTGCTTCTTGGTTTTGGACAGTAGAACATCACTGAGTCCACCCAGCTCTGATGGGTGCCTGATTTACATTGGGGAAAGTAAAGTCGGCTGGGCATAGTTCTGACCACACCATTCCTTCATATACTGATGTCAAGAAACATGAACTTTACTTCATCTGCCCAGTGGATCACTAGGTCTAAAGATGCTTAAATATTTTGTGTGTAAATGCTATGTGGATGTTTTTGTAATAATGTTTATTCAGTTTATAATTCCAGTTTCACTTTTAAAAACGACTGTCCAGTAATAATATGTATTGTGCTGTTGCTAATTCCAGTTTCACTTTTTACAACTGCAGGTTCTACCTCTGTACATGCACATTAGGGTCCTGGTCTCCTCCTACCTGTTCCTCACAGGGTTTGGCCATTTCTGCTACTACTGGGATAAGGGAGAGTTTGGCTTCGTCAGGTATTGTCTGGTAAGTCCTGCTAGGGGAATGTCTGGTATCTGTCAATTGTCTGGTAAGTCCTGCTAGGGGAATGTCTGTCTTTTTGGCTTCATCAGGTATTGTCTGGTAAGTCCTGCTGGGGGAATGTCTGGTGTCTGTCAATTGTCTGGTAAGTCCTGCTAGGGGAATTTCTGGTGTCTGTCTTTTTTAATTTGTCAGGTATTGTCTGGTAAGTCCTGCTAGGGGAATGTCTGGTGTCTGTCTTTTTTAATTTGTCAGGTATTGTCTGGTAAGTCCTGCTAGGGGAATGTCTGGTGTCTGTCTTTTTGGCTTCATCTGGTATTGTAAGTCCTGCTAGGGGAATGTCTGGTGTCTGTCTTTTTGGCTTCATCTGGTATTGTAAGTCCTTCTAGGGGAATGTCTGATGTCTTGTCATTTTGGATTTGTCTGGTATTGTAAGTCCTGCTAGGGGAATGTCTGGTGTCTGTCTTTTTGGATTTGTCTGGTATTGTCTGGTAAGTCCTCCTAGGGGAATGTCTGGTGTCTGTCAATTGTCTGGTAAGTCCTCCTAGGGGAATGTCTGATGTCTTGTCATTTTGGATTTGTCTGGTATTGTAAGTCCTGCTAGGGGAATGTCTGGTGTCTGTCTTTTTGGATTTGTCTGGTATTGTCTGGTAAGTCCTCCTAGGGGAATGTCTGGTGTCTGTCAATTGTCTGGTAAGTCCTCCTAGGGGAATGTCTGATGTCTTGTCATTTTGGATTTGTCTGGTATTGTAAGTCCTGCTAGGGGAATGTCTGGTGTCTGTCTTTTTGGATTTGTCTGGTATTGTCTGGTAAGTCCTCCTAGGGGAATGTCTGGTGTCTGTCTTTTTGGATTTGTCTGGTATTGTCTGGTAAGTCCTCCTAGGGGAATGTCTGGTGTCTGTCTTTTTGGATTTGTCTGGTAAGTCTTCCTAGGGGAATGTCTGGTGTCTGTCATTTTGGATTTGTCTGGTATTGTCTGGTAAGTCCTCCTAGGGGAATGTCTGGTGTCTGTCTTTTTGTATTTGTCTGGTATTGTCTGGTAAGTCCTCCTAGGGGAATGTCTGGTGTCTGTCAATTGTCTGGTAAGTCCTGCTAGGGGAATGTCTGGTGTCTGTCATTTAATGTTCACAGATTGTTATGTTGACTACACTGCTGTAAATTTTAACATTCAGATCACTAAGGCTTGACTTTGTTGTAGTGGTATATTTAAATCAAGGGAAACAATCCTGCATAACTTAGGATTAATTTATTTAAAAAAAACTTATCTTTAATAAATTTACAATGGTAGTGTGAAAATACTTGTACATCAAGTATTTTATAATTGCTCAGTCTACGATTTTGTATTTTTATAAATTGCCCTTGGGCAGACTCATATTGATGATGAGAAACTCAGAATAACTATCTTAGTAACCAAACATCAGCTTGTTGACCTTGGAATACATCTGTATCCTCCCTTATTTTCAATTTATTTTTAATTCCATTGAAGTAAAATAAATAATAGATAATATATAATACTATGTATAATTATAGATTTATTGAGACATTAATTTCAGTATTTGAATAAGTATAATTGATTGATTTAAACTTGACAGTTAGATGCTTGTACCCACACTTTCATTGACAAACAATTTTTAATTAAGCTATGTTTTCAGCAGATGGGATATTAACTCATCTATAGAGCTGAGTGTATCAATATAAAACTTTTTTTTTTAAATGGTACAGCAAAAGCTGTTTAGTGGGCTATAAATAGAATGTCTTCTGCCCTTGAACTTGTATTTGTAAAATGTATTTTTATTTGTTTGAATTGCTTTCTGGGCTTTGATTGTCTCTAACTGTCCCTCTAGGTGAATGTGTATGGTGAGATGGCGAAACCTTTGGGTTACATGTGTTTCAAAAATATTTTCTTTTTATCTTTTGATACTAATGGGATACCTGGGCACTAATGCAGTGTTATCTACCTTTTATTCAAACTGTATGGAGACTGGTCAGATTATATATGTATATATACTGCAAACTATGGGTGCCCTATCCTTCTTGGATTTACTAAACTGCTAATTTAAAAATTAATAATTGAAAATGTATTTCATAGTTGACTAAGAATTTTGAAGTACACTGTTATCTCGACATACGAGGGCGCCGCTAATGAGATTTTAATTTTTGAAATATGTAATGTTGAGAAAGCTAAAATTCGCTTTGAGGCAGGAAAGGGGGAGAAATCATGTCAACCATGTATTGTTTGCCAATATAAAGGCTGATTAGACAATGTTCAAAAGTTTCAAATAGCTACACGAGCAGGCCTTTACTTACATTATGTTCCCAAACTAGATGAACTTTCACTTCAATGTTTGAAGAAAAATAAAAAAATAAAAAATTTTCTTATCATGATGGCTCAAGAAAATGCAATTAAATATAGATTATTAACTCTAGTACCAGAGAAGATAAAAGTGTAATATGACCCTTTCCAGGATATTGACACAAGGATTAACTTTTGTTTAAAATAACGGAAATATCATTTAATTTAAAAAGAAATTTAAAGAATCAATTCAGACTCACTATTTTTGTTTTCTTCATTATTGCGCAAGTGAATTATCAAGAATGGTTGTTTACTTTTTATTATTTACTACATTGTAATAAATATGTAGCTTTGGTTTAATGAAAGATTTCATTAAGAGTTTTTTTTTTTAAAGCAGGCTGTGCATTAGCTGTCAGCATGTTTATTTATTTATTTTTAATTTGGTAAGGAATATATTGATGTCAGCATTACATGAATGTTTTAAAATAAAATGGTATATAATCCCATTAAATTTTAAAGCTAAATGGGCTTACCTGGTTTTTCTTTTTAACTCCTATAACATGGGAAATAAATCTTATTCCAACAGTAGGGGAAATAAATCCTAGGTCAGTATAATCCACTCAGTGCAAAATAATTTGAAATCCTTTCCTTCTTGGAATTTCCAGCATTCTGTACATTTTTTTTCTTCTGGTAACTGTGCTAGAGGCTGCCTCCCCCACCTGTTTTTTAATCTTGTAATTACATGGAAACTTCACGTTGGCCGTGTGAATGGGTGTTGTCTCCCCTTCCCTCTTGTCCATCTGGGAATTGTCTTGGTGTAAATTGTTTCTACGGGAACTGGCGTGGAGGTCATTACACCCTCACCCCAGACATAAACAGCCCTGGTTAGTGAGTTGTTTACGGTAATTTCCTGGAATTTTTATCTCCTGGCAAGTTCAGATAAATAATTGTTCAAGTCTTTGTCAAAGCTTCTAGTTTTTGTTTAAAAGGAACTTAATTCCTATAGTGTTTGGAACATAAAGTAGTAATTATTAAAATGTACAATAAACGATGTTGATTGATACAGAATGAAGATAATTTACCTTCTCCTTTTGTTAAAGGAATTTCATTCAAAAATTATCTAACAGTTGAGATCAAATGTAATTAGCCCCGCTAGCTCAGTGGCGTAGGCAGGGGGGGGGGGTCATAACCCCCCCCATAGAACTCTCGGTATATATATATATATATATATATATATATATATATATATATATATATATATATATATATAAAGTATGAGGGGGGTGCAAATCGAAAGTTTGAGGGGGGGGGGTACAAATCAAAAGACTGAGGGGAGGTGCAAATCGAAAGTTTGAGGGGGGGGGGGTGCAAATCAAAAGTCTGAGGGGGGGTGGTGCAAATCAAAAGTTTGTCCCCGGGTAAAAATTGGAACCCCCCCCCCCCCCCTTGAGATGATCCTGGCTATGCCACTGCGCTAGCTATAAGTGTATTCTTATTGAATGTGTTATACCTAGCCCACTATAATACTACAGCCCACTAATATTGATTCAAGTATATATATAAAATGGTCTCACCAATTACATTCATACAATTAAAATAGTCTGAAAAGTGAGTAAATAAAACTGTTTCATATACACCAATGGACTAAAAGAAAGATGGTAAATAATCTTTCCTCTACAATAGACTGTCAAATGACAGTAATAAAAATCTTCCCCCTATGGCTTCCTATCCTGAGTAAAATTAAACTAAAATATAGAATGACAATAATAAAAATATTCCCCCTATGGCTTCCTATCCTGAGTAAAATTAAACTAAAATATAGAATGACAATAATAAAAATATTCCTCCTATAGCTTCCTATCATGAGAAAAATTAGACTAAAATATAGAATGACAGTAACAAAATTTCCTGTGGGTTCATGTCATGATTAAAGCTAAACCTAAATATAGAATGACAGCAATAAATGGCTTCATGTTATAACATGATATACAATGAGAGCAATAAAAAACTCTATGGCATCATATTATGACATCACTAGAATGACAACTATACTTCATGGCTTCATGACATCACATAGAATGACACCAAAAAAACCCTCTATGGTTCATGATATGACATTACATAGAATGACAGTAATAAACTCTATCGTTTCACTTTATGACAACACATACAATGACAGCAATAGAAACTCTTCTGTTTTCATGTTATGACACCACTGGAACAGGGCATTTCCCCCCTGTCAATTCCCCCCCCCCCCTGGACATTTCCCCCCCCCCCAACTTTACCCCCCAGAGTAATTACCCCCCTGTCAATTACCCCCGCCCAGTAGGACATTACTCCCCCCCCCCGGACAGGGTTAGGGTTAGGGCTAGGATTAGGGCTAGGGTTAGTGTTAGGGTTAGGGCTAGGTTTAGGGCTAGGGTTAGGGTTAGGGCTAGGGTTAAGATTAGGGTTAGGGCTAGGGTTAGGGTTAGAGCTAGTGTAAGGGTAGGGTTAGGGTTGTGTCTAGCGTTGGTTTTGGTTTTGTGTGAAGTTTTAGGCTAAGGTGGATGCTTAGGTTTTGGTCTTTTTCTTAAGGTTTGGACCAAAGTAGTATATAGGTATAGAATTCTAGTTAGAGTTAGGATTCTAACTTGAGAGGTGGGGGAGGGGGGGGGTAATTCCCCGGGGGGGGGGGGGTAATTGCTCCGGGGGGTAAATACGGGGGTAAATGTCCTGTAGCCGACACCACATACAATGACAGCACTAAAACTCTCCTGCCTTCCTCTCCTGACCCTGTTGACTTGTCTCTCCAGGGCTGGCGTCACTGCCAGGTGGTCTGGCGCTCTCGTAACAGTCAGGTGCGCAGAGTTTGTGAAGTAAGTTCATGTCTTACTTCTGTTTTTCTTTTATAAACCTCTTTTCTTTATCTACATCATTAGTGTGCTTTTGAGCCCACCTAGTCGCCACTAACAGTAATATACATTTTTTTTTTACAATTAACATAGCACACATCATTTACTTTTTTCTCCTCATTTTTGTTATCGCTCTTATATTTCTTCAACTAAAATAAACATGAAACATATTTTAATTAGATAAGTATTCAATCTTCAATCTACTGTTGGGTTATGGCTATTTTTTGGATAATTAGCAAGGTGTAAATAATAAATCCTGTGATCGCAAAACTATTAAGCCCTGACACCCATCTTGAAGGCATCAATCGCTTTTATACAAAAAAAGTGTGGAGTGGATGAGGATGGAATACAAGTAAAGAATATGTGATAAATATGTGTTGTGTGTTATAGGGGTTATCCATTTAAGTGTAATTAATCCACGGTTTAAATTTTTTACCCCCCCCCCCCCCCACTCGACCAGATGGATAAATGTAATATTTACTGATACTTGTATTTATTTATCACACCACATTGGGTTCATGGCTTCTGTATCTGCTTTCACTTATCAATTGCTAACCCTGGAGTAATTTATTTTATTTTATTATTTATTTTTAAACAAAGAGCTGTTTCATTAATTAAACAGGAAACACAGCATTTTAATTTCTTTTACATTTTTGTATGAAGATTAACTAAATTTTCGTGTTTGTCAAAAAATAGTTAATAGTTTTAAAAAAAAAAGGAAATGTATGGATATCCTCATCTAATACCCCCCCCCCCCAAGTCCAAATGCAAAATTGACTGTTTTATAACCTCCCCCCCCCAACCACATATGTGTGTATGTCGTATATGTAGACATAGCTGTCTGGGATTTGCTTTGTAAAACTTAACACTGATTTGATAATATCCTGTTTTTATGCATATACTTTTAAAAAAATAGATCTCTTTTTCATTGGCTTTCACATTTATTCAACTCTGTTAGTTTTTTTTTTTAAATTCAAGGGCAGATGACCAGTCTATTATCGTTTGATTTTTTAAATTAATCATAGAGCAAACGAGAACTACATTACTGCATTATGGTATCAGGTTTTTGCTGGGCTAACTTTGTGTTATAAACTGTAAAATACTTAAGTAACATTAGTGTTTTAGTAAACAGTTGATTCATAAGATGTGAGTCCAGGTAATTATAAAAAGCACTGCTCTGACTTGTTATTGTGGAGTTGTAATTACACTGTATAATCAACATATATTTGCTTAGGTCTATATAGTTTTAAGGTGTAATTTTAACCTTCCATTACTTGCTCTGCTTATCTAAGCTAATTAAATCCTGTAAAAAATAACTGTATTATCCCCTTCTGTTTTTCATATTCAATTGGTCTCAATGATACTAAATCACGTTATGTATATCTTCTATTTTTGGTTTTGTGTTCTAGATTAAATACTGTAAATTAAATTTTGTCCTTTAAAAATTAAAAATTGCTCATTCTGATTGATGGTTAATTGAATGAATGTTCAGTAATACATTTTAACATAATGTACTCATTGATATTTCTTCTTTCTTAACTTCCATTACTATTAATGGCAGTTCAGTTGGCATGTTCAGACTTATAAAAATACTATATCATATATCTTTACCCTGATGTGACTATGTTATGTGTGTTAAAAAAAAATTATGTCAAATGATGACAGGTAGTAATCATATTTTAATTATCTAAGTTTCCTTTATTTTTGAAAGTATTTCCATTTATTGGATGAATTTTTTATTTTGTAGGTGCTGTTTCGGATCAACTTTCTGGTTGTGACCCTGTGTTTTGTCATGAACCGACCCTACCAGTTCTACTATTTTGTTCCTCTGGTCTCATTTTGGTTCCTGGTCATCTACCTGGTCATGGCCATACCTCCACATGTGACCAGTGAATCATCAGAAGGTAGGTGGTTAACATTAACTGTGTCATTCAGGGGAGGGAAATGATTTAAAGGGAAGTAACTCTAAAATAATATAGTATGAAATCTAAGGTTTTGTAATAATAATATTGATATTTCAGCTAACCCAATACAATACTTGTACATGATCTTAAAGTTTGTGGCATTGATAGTTGTTATCTGTCTCTTCTATCTCTCAGAGGTGAGTCAATTAATTTGTAATATTTAAATTTTTTTTTTAATTAATAAACATGAGCTGATAGGCTGATATTTTGAAATATATTTAAAAATATTTAATTATACAAAATATTTCATATTTGCCCTAACATTTTTAAATGGCCAAGTTATGTTATATTGTAGGCCTACTGTAAAACAAATCAACAATCTCCTGAAAACCAAAAAGAATAGATATAAAAACATAACTGCTGTACTTGTGAACATGTATGATCTATCATTTAATCTGTTTCATCTGGCCAGGTGTTTTTTGAGAAAGTGTTCCTCACGCGACCAATCAAAGCTTTATTCGTCACATCAGATGACTCTATACATGAGTGGAGATTTCGTTGGCAGCTTGACCGCTTTGTAAGTTGGCCTAGAAAGCAAAATTTGTACTGGCAGCTGATCTGTTTTGGGCTAAAGGCTAAGTCTATTTTTACTGGTAATCAAGCAGAATTAAAATTTGGGAATGGCTAGTCGACAAGATGATGATTTGATATGAATCTTCATTTTTAAAGTCCCTGTTAACTAGTAGATTGGCAACACAGTTGTGAACATTTTTATTTAGGACTAGTCAACACATTGATGATTTGAAATGAATCTTTGTTTTTAAAGTGTGCTCTGAACATGTAGATTGGCAACACAGTTGTGAACATTTGTATATTTACAGAGTCCAGTCTATGGGATGTTATTTGCCTTTGGGTACAAGGTGCTCGTGAGGTACAGGATAGTTAAAGATGACAGCCCAAATAATTTGTTCTCTAACCCAATCTCTTGGTCGCTTTGTGGGCTGTCTATTATTGGAATAGCTGTAAGTTTATGTTTTTTGTTGCTTTTAAAGTTTAAAAAAAAGTTAGTTCATACATTTTAATATTCACTTTTAGAATTATTGTTATTTAGTTACTGTTTGGACATTTTTGGTCAATATGGCAAATGAAGTAGAATTCATCTGTTACTCTGACTTTAGCGTATAAATCGTTTGTGTGGTAAGAACTAAACCCAGCCACCTTTACTTTCCCTAACGTGAGTCAGGTACCCATCAGAGCTGGATGGAATTAGGTGGCCAATCTTGAGACATTTGGACTAGTAGTCATGTGCACTAACACATGGCTATGCCTTCCATTCATTCTTGTAATAATGGTTTTAAAAATATTTAGTGTGTTGACTGATCCGTCAGTTATTTGATTGTCACCTTGTAAGCTGAAATAACACTGTTTATAATACTATATTTATATGCTTGTTTGCAAATTTTCTTTTTTAATTGCAGAGCTATGCTGTTTTCTCTGTGCTGTGTAGCAGTAAAATTCAGTGCAATGAAGTCCATTCCTACCTGGTCTTCCTACCTGTAAGTTCACACTTTGCTTATTAGAAATTTTGATAAGGACCTTCCCCCCTCCCTCCAAGTCCTTATAGATCTAATTCCCTTATAAAAGTCCACATGTGTCCGCACAAGTATATTTTTTTTTCGGATGCCCCCCCCCCCTGCGTGGACGTCATAAATGGATGAACCCTAAGATACCTCAAATGATCAGTTAAATATCTTATTTAAAAGCTGTTCAGTTTTAAAAAGTAGTCCCACTCATTTGGACCTGTCATATTATAGTGAAAATATTTTGTATGGTAAAATAAAGAGAAACTAGTTGTTAGTTCAAAGCCCAATGTTTTTTACCAAGTTAAGGCAGATTCTCAATAAAGCTAAGGATAAAATGGGCACCAGACTTTTAGGTTAGCAGGAATTGGCTCTACCACTAGACCACATGTCTCTGGTCTAGAGAATAATTTTTTAAATTAACATTAACGTACCAATGTAGCATGATTACAAAACCACATATTTCATTTTTATTTCTATTGACAGATAATATCTTTTATACATCACAAATTTCATATTTTTTATTTCTACTGGCAGATAATATCTTTTATACTTCTGAGAAATGTGCTTGGTTGTTTGCGTACCAGATACAGCTCATTTTTTGCATGGTTTGGTAAAATTTCATTAGAGGTAAGAGATTTGCATCCACAACTATCTTAATAGTTTCCCCTTCAATTTCAGTATTAATCTCAGCTATCCTGCAATATTTTATGGCTATTATAAGAACTCTAGAGATTTGTTATTTAATAAGTGTTAGTTGCATATTTAAACTGATGTCTACTACAGTTGATGTATTGCGACAGTGAATCTTTGTATTTTCCATAAATTAAGTTACCCTTTCTGACCTAGCGATCCATATGGCAGATGGAGTAGAGTTTACTTGTTTCTGTGACCTCAGCTAATGAAGGGATAGTGTGGTCAGCACTATGCCCATCTGTCTTTACTCTCCTTAACTGAGTTAGGTACCCATCTGAGCTGGGTGGACGTTCTAAGGGATTTAGTCTGGGATCTGAACTCAAGACTTTTGGTCTAACAGTCGTGAGCTCTACCATACTACCACACTTTTCTATATTTTGTTTCTATCCTTAATATTATTTATATGCCAGTACCACATATGTCAACATATTTTTATATTTTTAGTTATTTATAGTACCAAATATGTCAACATCTTTGTTTCCATCCTCACAGTTATTTATATGCCAATACCACATATGGATGGCTGCGGACACTCACGGCACCCTCGTCCTCATCCCTAGTTACCCCGTACTCAACGTTGTCATCACCTCTTTCATCTTCATCGTCATCTCCCACGAGATCAGCGTCATCACTCAGTCGTTATGTACCTACGCTGTACCTCAAGAATTGAAAGCTTTACTGCGCAACATCATAGGCTTTATTGCTGTCTTGTTACCTTTGTGTTACTTCAACGGGCTGTTGTTGTAGCAGACACTCAAAGTGTGATAGCATGTTCTAATTATTTATTTCTCTTTTCATTTGGTGTGCATTATTACATTTTTTTACGACTTCAGGTACAAAGCTTTTGAAAATTTGGTATTTGTAATTTTTTTTTTATAAGGTATTATTATAAATTTTAATGTGCTTTAATTAATTCTAAGCCTGTACTGTAAATACATAAGAGAATATGGTAAGAAATAAGATGGTGTGATGAAATGTAAAGTGAAAGTAAAATTGTTAAATGTGTTGCTTGATGATAGGAAAATGCAGGTTGTATGGTTGTTGACAGTTATGGTTGGCGAAGATACATTCTATTTCAGTGCATGTTTGTTTAGCTTTGTAGACCAGTTTCCATCCTGCTTCTCATCTTGGCTACTGTTTCATTATACTGGTATAAAACCTACTCTTTTTTTATGTTATGTTATGTTGTGTTATTTTATTGAAACAGTCATAATTACACAGTGAATGAAGTGTAATAGTGTAAAGGTGTTTTAAGTTTTAATTTAAAAAATCAATGCAATAATAACTTGTTGTAACAAAAAGCACTAATAATTTTTTTGTTTAATTCTTCGATAAAAAAAAATGATTATCACATTTGTAAGCGTGTAATGTTTTCATCCCTCACATTGATGAAGAGATAAAAAAATTATTTACATTAAAAGTTAAAGGAAAAAACTGGACTTGTGGATGAATAGGGTTATATAATATTTTGTTTAAAGCCAGTCATGGACTGGTAGGTTTGTTAATATTTATTGACTATAAAATAAGAAGGTGATGATTTTTTTTCCTGCATTATTTATCCGTGAATTACAATGTGAATTAATCCTTCATTGTGTGAATTTTTAAAATCTAATTTTGTAAAACAAAATGTTCTTGTTTTTAAACCATGCTTCCAATTTTTAGAATTTTCAAAAAAAAATTAAATCATACATTCTTTTGAAAATATAACAGTTTAATGTTAAAGGTTTGTTATAGTTTATCTGTCTCATGGCATCTCTATTGTGACCAGTTTAATGTTGAACCATCATTAATTTTAAACTGTCAGGTACTCATTTTAGCTGGGTATTTTCCAGACAAGGCCATTAAAAAAAAAAAAAATTAAACTGCCAGGTACTGATAACAGCTGTATGAACTCAAAATAAAATCCTGGCATGCTCATTTCTAATGTATGAGACAGTGATCGCCCCATTTGAGTTATCTTGTGAGTGTTGATATGTTGAAAATGAAGATTTTCCTCTAAAAAAATGCTCATTATCACTAATAATATTAAAATACCTTTTCATTTGTTGGCATTTCTGTCATTGAAGTATTATTTACTGTGTAAATAAATCAAATCAAAACATTTTAGAATTGTGATTGCATCAATTTTACGTGCACTATTTTGTGTGTAACATTAGTAAAACCACTAAGCAAAACTAAATGCCTAAGTTCATAAGAGATCTTAAATTTAAAAAAAAACAACTCTACAAACATAATAATACAGTATTCTTTGTTCATTCTGAAGTCCTTAAGATTGAACTTCATTTTTTGTGTTTGTTGTGGCTTGTAAAGTTTTTTATTTTTTATAAACTTGATGCTTTCACTTCAAATAGTTTACATAATAATAAGTTAAGATTAATTTTTGTATCCAATGATGATTGGATTGTTAATATAATTAATAACAAGAATTTAGTTACTCTATGTAAATTTAAACATTATTTATGCCATTGCAATCAAAATGTGCATTCCAACTGTTTGCACATCAAAACATTTAGGGGAAAATAAACAACCTTTGCGTTAACATTTAACTTAATGTAATAGTTGCCCTCATCTTCTCTAGTTCTGCTCATAAAAGCCAAAATAAAAAAATAAATTTTTTCGTTATAATCTTGTTTTAATTTATAAGATTTTTTAATATTTTAAAATCTACTGACAGTAAGTAGTTTTGAAATAATATTGTGGCTTAATCCACAATAATAACTGAAATGTGGTCATTATTAAAACTTGTGATTGTTTTATGTTTATTATTCTTCATATATTATTTAACATGATTACACTCAACATTCAGTAGATTAACAAATTTCATTAAATTTGTAAAAAAACTAATTTAAAAAAAATGTATATTAATCAGAGTTATAATCCTAATTCAACTTAAAATCTTACTGTGTGTTCATATTGTATTGTAGTAGGCTTAAATAAATCTTTTAAGTCAAATTATTCTAAAGTCAAATTGTTTTGTTTTTTCACATAACTTTTGAACGAGTTAAAAATAAAATAAAAGAATAGCATTTAGATAAAAAAAAACAAAAGTTGTTAAGAAATATATCTAGTCAAATGTACGGACCGGTTTATAATGCCAAAATGAAGAAAAAATTTGCTGTAGAAACATTCCATAAAACAGTATGAGCAAGCTCATTCCATAATTGTTTTTATTGTTTACAGACTAGCATCAAAATCTTATCAAAATCAACTTTTTGTGGATTAAAAAAAAAAGTGCTATCATAACTTGGTTGTGTTAAATAGTAAAAATAGATTGACTGAAATTATATGCAGTATATGAAGTATATTTTAAAAAATCAAACTGTTTATACTTATACGTTATAATTATATGTTACAATTTTTTGGTTTCATGTTCAGGATTATTCCTATGTAAAAATAACATTGTAGTCTACCTGCACCCATGAGAGGTTAAAAAAAAATTGTATGTGTTAAAACATATAACATGGAGTGTGGAGTTAACATAAATTTAATCAACATTGCACTATGTCAATTTTCTTTAATATTTTGCACCTATTTTAAATACTTTTTTATTTGAACTCATTTTAGTTTTGATATTATGTTTACAAAATATGTACAAACTTAGGTATAATATTTTAATTAACTAGAAGTTTCACAGTATGTACGTGTTTGGACTTGATAAAAGTATGTGAATTTTCTACCCTGAATCTTCAATTGGTGAAATCAGTTTTAAAGTTAGTGTATAAATACTAACATTAAGTGTGAGAAAAGTTATTATGTTTTTAGGTGACTTATTTATTTTAGAAATGTTTTTTTGCTATTTTGTGAATGCAGTTTATTGGAAATATTTTTTAAATCAAAATTAATAACACTTAGTTCAAAAACAGGTTGTTTTATTTGTAAAATATATAAAATATTAGATGTGAAATGGGACAACTACTTGAAATTGTGCTTGAATTCTATAGGCCTAATTAATTTATAAATTAATTATTTAAATTTTGGATAACATGTAATGGATATTATTTTATCTGGTACTTGATTGTAATTAAAACAGTGAACACGTAATTTCATCATTGATTTTTATAAATTGTAATATTTTTCTTGTTCATGTCAAAAACAATAATTACTTTTTTATAAGTTTTTTTTAAGTTAGATTTGGGAGAAATTTTAAAAAAGTATAAAGAAAAGGTACTTTTCTCAAAACAACAAAAAAGTGCCTTGGATTTAAGAGGTCACTCGTAATTGTGTATTAAAATATAGATCTATCACGTAATAATTGCATCTGTTTTAAAAAATGAAGCAGTTTTCATGAATTCTCTAACAATTATATAATCATCAATGTATTATCATGTCACTCATTACTAATTATTTAAAAAGATGACATTTAGTTTTATTTTTATGACAGAGGTTCTTAAACTGTAGGCCTACTGGTCAAAGTTTTCTGTTTATGTTTGATGTGATGAGTTTTCTAGAGTTTCATGCATCTTATGTACATACTGATGACAAACAGTCATTTCCTGGGATAGACTCTATACATTTTTAATATATGTGAATGATTCAATAAAATGTTTTATATGCCATCAAACCATTTGTTTTGTACACTTTCATTTCTTGAATGTATCTTTGCTGTGGGTTGAGTGTAGATTATAGGTTTGAGATGTATCACAAAATAATCAGTGTGTGTGTATGTGGTGTTGGGTGGTGCTGGTGCAGAGCTTCTTTCTGGCATCTCTTCGAGCCCCCCCCCCCCCCCCCCCTCGAACAAAATGGAATTTATATTGAAAATGTTTACTTTTACCAGTGTCCGCCGCCCCCCCCCCCCTGTCCCCTCCCACACACAAACGTAATATTTTTTCTATTGCATCTGGGGGGCGGCGGTTGATGCGCTCTTCCCCCTCCCCTCTTCTGAAGAGACTTTTGAAAGAAACACTCTAGTCTATATGAATGACATAAAATAACCTTTTGTTAGGCCTATTGTTTTTCTTTATTGTATTGAATGTATCCAAATCAGTAATGCCTCATTGAGCTAGTCCATAGATCTATATTTAACAAATCCTCGCTTTATTTAAAGACGAGCACGATTTAACACCAAATGCTTAAAAAAAGTCAGCTAAAAAACAAATTAAATTACCTGTGTTTAAAAAAATATCAATCCGCGCAACGGGTAGTTAGACTAACCTTCGTCCTAAAGTTGAAAGGTCACAATGTAATAATCCTTTCCAATGTAAACAAATTTAATGAAGCTTTGTACAGCAAGATATAGATTCTAGATTGATCTAGCAGTAGAAGTCTAATTATTAATTAGCAATTAAAAACTTGAATCAACAAGATCCAGACCTATTGTCTATTGAGTCAATAAGTAATACTAATATTAAATTATTAATAGGCCTAATATTAATATTAATTAAATACCCGCCCTCCCTAACGTAACTAAAAACAATAAAAATAAATTTTAATTTTAATAAAATTAAAAAGTTACTTTTTTACTATTGAACTATTGATTGTTTTATTTACAATGTCACAAGTATTACTATTGAATGGTACTAATGACTAATACTAATGTCTAATATTATATAATACTTAGTATTACCCTACTAATAGTACTATACTATACTATTATAGTAGTATTACTCGCTAACTTGGAGGCGTGGTCGGTTGCTAACAACAATATGGCGTCCGGACCGGACGCATGATTTCCGGCGATTTTTTGGCCAAATTCCAGAGACCTTCTACTAATTAAATTTAAAAATGTTTACCACGCGCAAAATGGCGGGATTTCCGTGTCATAACAACAAACAATAGGTGGCAGGGTTAGATATGCCAGAAAAGCATTTTAAAATTTGGTTTGGAGAACGGAGGCTAAATTTAAAAGTTGGTTTCATTAAAATTAATAGAATTTGAAAAATATCAACTATGTAGGTACAAAAATGATCATATAAGTAAAGCATTATTAAGTCTATCAGTCTATGTAAAAAGAAAGCAAATATTGTCGGCACTTTTTTTATAAGATCGGCTCTCATATCACAACCAATTTATTTTTATTTTTTAAAAACCACGTGACCGCTATTTGAGATTACTAGTGAGGAACTCTGGGTGCATGGCCACTTAAAAAGTCTAACCTGATTTGCGGTTTTCTTTAGCATCAAGGGTTAGAAGAGTTGTCATGGAGAGATGTGTTGGCCATGGCAGTGAGTGTCAATAAATATTAAATTAAGTAATTTAGTTTAAAATGAACTAAAAACTTCAAAATTAGTGCCTAATGGATTAAATATGGATGTCTATTATTCAGTGGTCATGTTTATATTGAAAATTGCGTAAATTTTAGATTTAGTAAGAAAAACTATATTATAGTTAGTCTAGTAAATAATAAATAAATATAAATAGTAGGCCTGTTTGTTAGTATTACGTACTCACCTAGGCAGGTCCTAGAACCTAGAGTGACCTAGAGTCTAGGACGTAGGTGAGTACGTAATAGTACATATGTTTTGTCTAGGACCTAGACTGACCTAGAGTCCTAGTTCAATCAAAGTTGGCATAGGTGGTATGTCTGAATTAATAAAATAATTAACAATTACTAGCCCAAGTAGTAGATCAAATTAAAAAAAAATTACTTCAGAGCAAATTTAATTTAGAGATATGTTACAATCATATAATTTTACAGGCCCATAATATAAAAATAGATAATAGGTTTAACTTAAAGCTACTGTTTTCTCATAGTCATAACTAGCGACTTTTTCTCTAATGATTGCATGTCTTGTTTTTGCAGGAATGGATCGCCAGTTTGGACCCACTAAGCTACTTGAAGCAGCCAGTACTGGCCACGTTGCTGAAGTTTTGCAGCTGTTGACTGATCCGTCAGTGCACATTGATGTCAGTGATATTCTCAATAAAACAGCTCTCTGGTTTGCTGTTGAAAGTGGGAATCCCACAGCGGCAAAAACTCTTTTAGAGGCTGGGGCTAACATTAACAAAACACATCGCTCTAAGCAAACAGTTTTAATGCTAGCAGTCATGAAAAATAACCTGGAGCTTGTGAAACTTTTAACAGATTCTGGAGCCGATCTTGATTTGACTGATTCATTTGGCATGACAGCAACGATGATCGCAACACAGAAAAACCATCTTGAGTGTTTAAGACATTTGTTAAGTTGTGGTGGTCAGTTAAACATGAAAGACATTCGTGGGAAATCAGCTTTAATGATCGCAGTTGAAGAAGGACATCACGATTGTTTAGAACTTTTAATAGAAGCAAAGGCAGAGTTGGCTTTTACAGATTTTAACAACCACACGCCCATGGTGACAGCCATTCTCAAGGACCATCACTCTTGTTTACAAACTTTAATCAAAGCAGGAGTTGACCCTAACATGGTGGATAGACACAACCAAACAGCCATCATAGCCGCTGTGGACGGCCACTGTGAATGTTTACAGACATTAATTAAAGCTGGTGCCAATGTAAATCGGACGGACCGTAAAAACCGGTCGGCTCTTATGCTGGCTGCAGGATACGGAAACGTTGATTGTGTTGCGTGTCTTATACAAGCCGGAGCTGATGTGAATTTTCAGGGGGATTGTGAAAGGTCCGCGCTGATGTGGGCGACAATAAATAACCACGTGAGTTGTGTTGAGCATTTGTTAAACCACGGAGCGGCCCGGTGTTTACAAGACGACGATGGTAAAACAGCTGCAATGATGGCTGCGGAGAAAAACCATCCTGATTGCTTGTCCCCACTGATTGCTGGGTTAGGGGAGGAAGAATTGAATACATGCTGCTCCCTAGGACAAACTGCTGTGATGTATGCTGTGAAAGGGTGTCATGTCAAATGTCTACAGTGTTTAATCCAGTCTGGCGCGTCTGTAAACAAGGCATCCAAATCAAAAGAGACGGCTCTAATTCTTGCAGTAAAAAATGCGTGCAATTATTTCTCCCAGCATAGGAAGTTGAATTTTGCATTTGGTAGTTCAGACGTTACAGAATGTGTTCAGTATCTCATTGATGCTGGGGCCAGGCTAGACTCGTACAGCTTGGGGAAAACACCACTCATGTACGCGTCAATGTTCCAGCATTGTATTCCCATCTTGGAGCTTTTGGTGAAAGGTGGAGCTAATGTTGAACTGTGTGATTTTAATGGTAAGACACCATTGGCATTAGCCGTCAGTGAAAGTTTAGTGGAAAATGTGAGATTTCTTCTTAATGCCGGATCAAGTGTGAACAAAACAGACTTAATCGGCAAGACACCGCTGATTTATGCCATCGAACATGGGTGGAACAATAATTCTTCCGAGTGTATTCAGTGTCTTTTAGATTATGGGGCGGATGTCCATGTTCAGGACAAACAAGGGAAGACAACTCTGATGTACTGTGTTAAAAATTCTTCAGATACTGTGATCTTAAAGCTGTTGGTTGAGAGAGGTGTTGGTGTCAATGTTGTTGATACAGAGGGCGCTTCAGCGCTGACCTATGCTATTGGATCTGACTCCTTAGCATTAGACCACGCGGAAGTTTTAATCAGCGCAGGTGCTGACCCTAAAGTCGGAACATTTAAAGGCAAAACTGTTGTCCCTCTAGCTCTTTACCACAGAAACGTTCAGCTGTTAGAACTGCTGATATCGCAAGGTGCTGAACTAAACATGGAGTGGGACGAATTCAGATTTCTCATTGTCTCTGATGAGAAAGAAATCCTGCAGCTAATGATCTCTAATGGAATTATGCCACCTATGGCAGAAAGTTGCATGCCTTTTAGTGGTGGGTCCTCTGCAATTGGTGCATCTTTTTCAGCCTGTCGTCTCGAATATGCAAAATACTTAATCTGCGTGGGATATTTATACAGATTTGATTTGTTTGGTAAGTACTATATCCACACGACAACAGGCTCAATGTTTTATCAAGAAGACAGAGATAAACTACTCAGGGATAGGGCTAGTTTGTTGGTAGAAATTTATTCCCAGCCGTGGCCTCTGGTTAAGTTGTGTTTCGTTTCCGTCTCCACCTTGCTGGGCACTGGACCCAAACGCCTGGAGCGCATCAAAGAATCTCAGCTACCTGGCAGACTTCAGAGACTCCTGTTATTCCAAGAGCCCATCACTAAGCTGTGCATTCATCAGTGGCAGTCCATATCGTTATGTTTTGACCCTATGGTGTACGAGACCCTCCCCTGTCCCCGCCCGTTGTTGTATTACTGGCCGTATGGAAGGAAGCTGGTGGAGAATGACTGCGATATCTGTACAAACACATGCTATAGATTTTTATAGCCAGTATCTCTATTAGGGTAAGAATTTTTTAAAAACTTTGTTTGATTGTTAACTTAAACTTTTTTCTCAGAAATATTGATAAAAAATAATATTTTTCATGTTTGAGATTGGTTAAATTTATTTATGGCTTTGTTGTACCCACTCCAAGGTTATTGACCTGCAGCATCAGTGCCAATATTAACTGGTTTTGAAAAATGAGAACAAATGTGTGTATAAAAATAAAATAATATTGTGATGAGGATTCAGCTGTTTGACATCTGAATAATAAAACCTTCCAATGTAGCGCCATAAACATCTATAACAGAAATTAAAAAATGGTTCACTACTCTAAAATAGTTTCTTTCAGCCATCCCCCCCCCCCCCCCACCCGCTATGGACAAAAAAAGGAAGTCGTATAAATATTATACACTTTTAATCCTCCCCCCACCCCTTCCACCCACCACAGCCAGTGAAAAATGTCAGAAAGAAACCCTGCTTCAGAATGGTATAAATCCCTGCGCTGATTGGTTTGTTATTGAACTCAGGATGTGCCACATTCCTATTTCAACCAAAAATCTCCCACTTGAACCACACACTTTGATATATTCCTTTTAATTGGCCAGATTTTTCTCAGCTAGTCTAGTATGTAAAGGCATATGATCACATAAGCAGCACAATGATTGGCCTTTTGGGTTTTTATTTTCTCCCATATGATCTCAAAAAATATTTTTTTTTATGAAAAACTATTTTTTCAAAATAATTATGATGTGATATAACTATTGACTATCAAGAAAACTGCCTGTATTTTATGTTTTCTTACATAGCTTTACTTGACTTTATATAAATTCCTAAGTTGAACTCAGAATTCAAGGGCAGCTACTGAACAAAAGATGTATATTTCTAATCAGCATCTGAAAATGCCACAATAATGGAATCTTCTTAAAGAGGGGTGTTGGTTTCTGCCTAAAAGCTATACATTAAAAATGTATAGAATTATAATTATATTATGATTATATTATTAATATTTATAATTTATAAACCTGAACCTAACTCAAGTTCTGCCATTGCCCATATTCTTGCACTTAGACTAAAACTGATATTACAATACTGCTAGTAACCCTACACCCACTTTTGAAAGAGTCCATTGTTAGACACTAGTAGAAGGAAAACTTCCAACAAAACCACTCTTGACTGTTTATTGTTCTCAAGTTGTTTCTTTTTTAGAAGAATATTAAATGTATTTATTAAAATAAAGAAAAACAGTACTGCAGCTATTAATTTGTATTGTACATTTGCTTTCTAAAATGTGTTGCTACTTAAAGTTACATTACGTGTGTTTTGTGTTGTTGTTGTTTAATACACGGACCTTATGGGCAGAGACGTAGCCACCCATTCCAGCGCCCCGAATATTCAATCGATTGATTTAGCGCCACACCCACTCTATATATAGCTCTTCGAGGTTGTAAGCGCTTCTTACCAGTTACTGTACATGAATAGTTGTTGTTTTAGTGTCATAAAATGTATGTAGAAAACAGTTAAATCACTTTGTAAAGCTAATCAGTAGACTGTATAATTAAATACCCTGTTTGGCTCCTCCATAGGATTAGCGCCCGGGGCGTCCGCCCCACCCTCCCTCCCTGAGTTCCATCGCCAACTCGAAAGTTTCAAGTTCGGATTTCGAAGTCCCTGAGTCCATCCAGATAGGTACCTGACTCGCGTAAACTTAAGGAATGTGCAAGTGTCTGGGCATAATGCTGACCACATCATCTCTTTGAATGCTTGGTCAAGAAACAAATGAACTCTACTTCATCTACACAATCGATCGTCAGGTCCGAAATGGGAACTTTATTTTACATTGACCTTTCTAGAATCTAGTAACATCACAAAAAACTCGCGGCGAATCCAAACAATTAAAAACTTTCTACTTTTATCCTTGGAGATTTAACCGATTTAATAATTGTTTTTATCTTAACTGTATATCCCCAGAGGTCCGCGTTTTACCTTTCAGCATTAAGTTCTACGTTTGTCTCGTTGACTGAACACTTAACTTAAATTGATGCGGCATTGAAATAAATGTTGCGAGTAAAATCTCTTCCTATTGTATTAAAAAGGGTTAATGGTGATCAAATAGACACGTTTTGAATATTTAAACGACAATTTTCCTGCAACTTCAAACTTAAGTCGTGATTATGTAGGTATAAAAAGAAACACTTTTTATATGGCTAAATTATTTTGGACAGGATCTAAAATTTTGTCATAGTTCTAGAATTTGTACAAAACTCATGCTATTAATTACCTGACTTCTATAGAAGCGACCTATTGGCAAAGACTTTGATGATGATGTGTAAAATGTAGAGTATTGTGTCCCATTATCTTCTATTACAAAGGTCACTTCCCTTGCCTTAAAAAACAAAAATAATTCTTGGCAGAATCACGAATACAGACAGAGATAGATGTGGAACACTTTAACCCCCCCCCCCCCCCAATAAAATAATCTCCACGCCGCTGGAAACTTTGGTATATTGGACCATAAAACTTTGGGCGATTCCGGCCGCATGTACCCCCACCCACAATTGACCTTTTCTAAGTTTGTTTTGGCCTAGATTCTACTTTCTTTCACTATTTCGATGGGGGTTCCAATCTAATGTCTGTCTGTCTGGTGGTGGTGTTGGTTGGTTTGTGCAAGATATGCCCAATCCATCCCCATTTGCGCTTTTGTATTTCTTCGATTATACTTATATGATTTTTCCCCTTTTAAAAAATAATTTACCGTTGGTCATTTTCTCAGGGCACTTGATATTCAATATGCATCACAGCCATCCGTTAAGTTTGTTGTTATTAGTTTGTGTTACTCTCCACATCTTAGAACCACAGAGGACAATATATCTCATGTTTCTTATCAACAGTTGTATTATGGGAAGTGTAGACATTGCTCTTGACGTCCAGGTTGTGCGGTGTTGAAAGCGTACCTGGGCTTTTGGTGTCCTCGTTTGTTCCCCCTCAACCTTGCTCACTACTATGTTATACTACAACTTTTGAATGAAGTGATCCACCTAATAAATAGTCATACCTTATATCTTAGGGGATGGGACGGCGTGGCATAGAGGCTAGACTGCGAAACCGAGATGCCTAATCCGGGTTCAAATCAGTGGAACGTCAATGAGTCCACCCAGCTCTAATGGGTACATCAGAGTTTCTTCCAGGCATCTCTTCGGGGCCCCCCCCCCCCCCCCCCCGAAAAATTTTTACCGCCCCCCCCCCCGAACGAAATTAAATTTATATAATTTATATAGAAAATACACACTTTTAACAGTGTCCGCCCCCCCCCCCCCCCCCCCGAAGAAAGTCTACCGCCCCCCCCCCCCCCGAAAATTTCAAGTGCCCCCCCCCCCCCCCGGAAAAAAATGTTAGGGAAAGTAAAGGCGGCTGGGCATAGTACTGACCACACTATCCCTTTATATTTATATGCCTAGGTCTCTGAAGCTTGGGCTTGGGCACGAACGGGAAATGATGATGATATCTTAAGGGTTAGCTTCAGTTTGTTGTAAAATCTCAACAGCTCTGTTCTTGTTTTAAAAACAAAATCTTTTTAAGCCTGTCTTAAATACTTCATCACAGATTTAGCTTAGCCTGAATTGGCTTGCTGCTGTCGATGTGATAGGGTGCCGATGTAATCCACAAAATCGACTTTTTCAAGGGTCCACGGAATTCTTTGCTGCAATCCACTTTAAAATCTTTTACCTCTCAACTTAAGTTTTCTTCATTTAAAATATGTCTAAATAATAGAAAATAATAGAATTCTACATTTAGAAACCCAGCTAACTATGATGTTACTCAACTGGTACTCAAGAGTGCCTTTCAGGATTTGCTTCCAAGCAGCAGTTATTGGATGTTTTTGATGGTTCTTTTTTAAGTGGGTTGCAGTCCCCAGCCAACGCATCTCATCTGCCCGGGGTCCGAACCCGGGGCTTTAGGAGAGTAATCATTCACACGCCTGTACGAATACGTCCGTTTTAATGCTGACGATTAAGCAATGATTCTCACTACATGACAATTCAGTACCTACCCTCGAATTCTATTTCTAGTGTTGTAAAAATCTATCACTTTGGGGAAACGAAAATACTATCACTATAACAAAAAATAAAACAATTCGTTTTTCTATTCCTTTAAAGTTTAAAGTGTAATAAGTACTACCCCAGAGAGTTGGAAAACGAACCAAACTTTTAAGTTCGGCTTGTTTAACCTGACACGTTTCTGGCAACCAGGGGATTCGGGGAAATCAAAAGCTTGAAATTAACAGAACACTTAGACAACAAAGCATCGAATTTTATACTGCTAGGCTTAGTATATAAAAGGACTAACATATTTCCCTCTAGTTTTTTCCCACTACACCAAAATACTTGCATCAAAGTGATAAAATAGATTTGAACCTCCTAAGTGTATATATCAATAACATAATTGTAATTTTAAAGAATTGTTACTATCTCTTTACGTTCTGTTTTTACATTTCTTTTAAATATATATAAATAACCAGATCTAAATGTAAAATAGTTTAGAAGTTCAAATTGAACTGTGTTAAGTAGGTCTAACAGTATGTAACATCAAATTGCTATAGACAGTTTTAGAATGCGCAGTCGATCAGTGTGAATGGCAAACAGTAAGGACTAGTTATATTTAGTTATAAAACACTTCATTTCATTTTTTTATAAACCATGGTAAAGCAAGACAAATTCACCGTGTTCTTGTTTATATTCATGTCACTGAGAACACACTCTGCTCAGGGTAAGTAGGCTATGTTTTTGTAAAGCCAGTTAAAGTAGATTTTTTTGAGATAATCCGGGTAAACCTAAAAATGTTAAATCACGGGTTCAAGTCCTTAGATCGTTCCTGAGCCCACCCAGCTCTGATGGGTCCTGACAAATTAGGGAAAGTTAGGGCTGTTGGGCATACTGCTGACCACAGTATCCCTACATATGCCGAGGTCTACTTCACCTGCCATATGGACAGTCAGGCTCAAAAGAGAACGTTTTATTTATTACGATGTAACACACTTTTAGATAGAATATAGATTCTGCATTTGCAAACCAAGAGGTAGTCCCCATATATATATATATATATATATATATATATATATATATATATATATATATATATATATATATATATATATATATATATATATATATATACAATATAAATAATTATAATTAATTGTTGTATATAGCAGTGGCACCTACTGACTGGCTGAAGAACAGAAAGACCAATGAACCACCGCCACCGATTAGCTATGTAAATAGTTCAGAGAAAGTTTCAAATACATGTCTTCTGCCCAATGAAACAGTAACGAACCAGAGTACTAGTGGCACAATTCAGTGCGGCACTGGCGCCAAGGTAGAGGAAAGTAGTAGCCCCACTAAACAGCACATTAAAAGCACCATTCGACAACACAGCACAGCTAAACAGCCCAGAAACAAAACCACTAGGCGACATTACAATAGAACGACTAAACAGTACAGTAGTGGGGTTGAGGAAAACCACGGCGATGTCTACTCGCCAAGTTGTTTTTTGAACGAAAATATTATGTTCGAGCCGTGTAAAAACAGCGAATGCGGGAGTTGGAGAGGCAAAGAGCGCGATATGAACATGTGTCAGTGTGACCACTTCTGTTGGGTAGTGGGAGACTGCTGCCCCAATTATTACACCACCTGTCTGAGGTTAAATATAACCGCACCTATGTCCTTGATTCTAGAAGCTGTTATTTCAACAACTAAATCTCTATCCACGGCAATGGAACTGCAAAAACTCATCGAAATGGTGCCGTTGTTTTCATGCAGAACAGTAGGCTTGCAGTTTTACAAAACTGACGTGCTTATTATTGATAAGTGTAGTCATGATCAGCGTACAGTGAGTAGATTCTCCTACGTGTATAACCAAATTCTCTCAGAGCAAAATAGATTTTTCTTGGGTTTTTCTCAAGAGGATATCGAGTATAACTGCGAAAACACACATTTAAATGAAAACCCTGTTATCAGAATCCACGCGACTCTCAAATACAACAAACTTATTCATTTTTACAACATCTTCTGCGGAATCTGCAACGGGTACTCTTTAAACGATTTAGATTTATGGGAATCTGTCATAGCGTGTGATAATAAACACCCACCGTTTAGGAACACGACTTTCAAAAACAAAAACTGTACCACGGATGCGAAAATATTGTCTATTGTTGGAAAACGGAAATGTATACGAGAATTCGAATCCATCGATTTAGATCACCAACAGGAATTGTTCCAGTATGGTTTGAATTTTACCAACAGCTTAGAAAATGGTACGGAAAGCAGGTTGCAGGCTTTGGAAGTAATTTGCAGACGATATGTCTTTGCTGTGGTCGATTCTGTCACCCGGATAGCGTACAGGAATCCACACTGTCAAGTCTACGCTCTGGCCAGACGGAATCCCGCGGCGCTGGATCAAATCCCAGCCGATCTAACCCCTTCTGGATGTTTGGTGAAGAATTGTAAGTGCTACTTAGAAAAACCAGGACCTTCCAATTTGAGTCCAACTTTTCAAATTTTGTTTAACTTCCTCAATACAAATGTTTTTGAAATCGAGGGTCGCAAGTACGTGATCGAGACGAAATCGTGCCCAGAAAATCAAGTCTATGTACCAATCAAAGGCTCATGTTCAAAAGTTTACTGCCCGCATTGCTTACAACCAAAATTTACCCAATTTTCTGTAGGCCAAAATAATTTACCCACAACACTACACTACGAGTTGAGTAATTTAATTTTCAAACAATCCAATCAAAAATTATATCTAGTGTTGCAGAACTTTTTAAACGCTAACTTAAATCAAACTTTTCGAGTTGCCAACAAACTGCAAACAACCGCAACAGACTCCGATCCAGAAGTTCAAAATTTGAACGCGTTATCCGCATGGACGAAAATAACGAAACAATTTATGACGACGGAAATTAATTTTACAGTTTCTGAAGAAATACTTAAAACTGTGAACACAATTTTTAACGAAACAATACAATTCACCAATGTGTTTTCATTAATTAGAAATAAAACCCCAGAAAACTCAACAATCGAGAACAAGTATGAAGAAACATGGGAAATAACCCAAGGGCATCAAAACAAACTACGACACTGGCAAGAAAAAGAACTAATGTCACATGTTATAACAGATGTCAGTTTATTGTTAAATGACAGTGTTAAAGATTTGCTTGTGTTGGAAATGGATCTAACGGGAGAAGAAAAACTGGAAAGTTTGTTGTCAAGGTTACAAAACGTAATGTTCTATTTAGGGCTGTTTCGTAATTCTTCAAATAGTTTATTTATAAGTAACAGTCTTGTAAATAACTTGTCTAATAATGCATCTGAAAAAAACCATGAAAATATCCGTACATGTCCAGTAGGATATAATGCTCGCAAGTTTCAGAAATCCGCATCCGTCGACAGTAATGGACATTTTTTTGTCGAATTAGCTGATTTAGATTCGAGCTTTGACCTCAACGATAGTTTTAAGTTTACATTGCACTACAATTTAGATGAAAATTCAGACGAGAAAGTCAACCTTTTTATCACCCAGTGTGTGTTTGGGGTTGTTTTGCCTGATTGTGCAAATAGAAGTTTGGTTTATTTCGAGAACTCTGAATTTATCCTGTTTAACGAAACTTTGATTTTATCCTCGAAATCAAACCAAATAAAATCTTATATAGAGAATGCCACAAGAAATGAGAATTTTAAAGTCACTCTGAAAAGTATAATGGGAATATTTGAAGAAATCTTTAACGAAACTAAGACATTGCTGTTTTTAAACGGAACGTATGCTCTGGTAGAAGACGGCGCGATCGTGTGTTCCGTATTCAACACAACGTATACGGAAATAGCTACAGTTTCAGTGATGACAGGTTCAAAAGTGGAAGAAATCACGACCATTGTGTCCTTGACTCTATCCATAACTAGCGTCGCACTCGTACTGATTTTATTTGGTTCCCTTCCCGAGAAGAGAAACTTGCCCGGAAAAATTACCATGTCCTTGTCCGGATCCCTTTTGGTAGCGCAGAGTTTATTTTTGTGCTGCGGTTATCCCAAAGGTCAAGGTCTTGTTTGTGATGTCTACGCAGCGGTCCTGCACGCGGCTTGGCTGTCGTCTTTTTGTTGGATGGCGGCCATGGCTCTCCATTTAACCTATACTTTACGTTTCCAAAACTTTCAAGTTTTAGATACCCAACAAAACAACAAAACGTTTACGTTTTTATCACTCGTATGCTGGGGTATTGCTTTTCTAATATCAGCTATTTGCTTTATTTTGGACAAGATAAATATTGTAACTCTCGCTTATGGAAAAAACAATGTCTGCTGGATCGGGAATTTGAATGCATTATTAATAGCATTCGTTATTCCCATTCTCGTGCTTCTTTTCGTTTCGTTTTCGTGCTGTGCACTTGTTGTCCATTCCATCCGGGGCAGTTTCAAATTTAGACAGCAGAGTTCCGCATTAAACCGGAAAGGAGGGAGAAAGTTATTTTTATGCTTTAACCTATCATTATTAATGGGATTGAGCTGGGTGTTTTATTTCATAGCCCTGATATACAACACCCCTGTTCTCTGGATCCTTCACACCTTGGTCAATGGGACCCAGGGTGTGTACATTTTTATTGGGTTTGCTGCGAAGAGATCCCTGTACCGGACCGTACTCAGAAAACTTGCTTCATACTCTCCAAGTGAAACCAGAACTAGATCTACTTAATTTACCTGGCGCACTACTATAATACTTTGGTAAGGCGTTGAATAGAGGTAGAGCTCCAGACTGCAAACTCGACAGTCTCGAGTTCGAATCCAGGTTCAAGTTGGTAGAACGTCCCTGAGTCCACCCAGCTGTGATGGGTTTCTAACTCATGTTAGGGAAAGTAGTGACCACACCTTCCCTTCATATGCCGAGGTCAAGAACATATGAACTCTACTTCATCTGCAAATTGGATAGATAGTCCTAAAGAAAAATGGAATGGAGTTTTGTAATAATGCAGAAAAATTATAATCTTGGATACATTCACAGATACATTAACTTTTTTGCATTAAAGAATATTAAAATATTTATTGTTAATATTCAATTTTTTTAGCACCTTGCACAATCTCAAGGAACAGCTGTTTATAATACCAAGCAAATAAAAATAAATGTATTGGTACAGAATAGCAAAAAAAACAACAAAATATTATTTTGAAAATATTTTTTTTTAATAACTTTGAATTGCACTGGGGAAAAAAAGAGTGTATAAAAATAGGGTTTCACTTCATGCATAACACAAGGAAACATTGAGAAACAAATACACAAATCACCCCCATTGAAAATTCAGAAATATTACTCTGGCATAGAAATTAAAAATGCATCTGGCATAGCTTTATAAATATTTATCTGGCATAGCTGAATCTGGCATAGCTAAAACGTAACAACTAGCAAAGAAAACAATAGAGGATAATACAGTCTAGGGTTTGATAAGAAATTTACTTGGGGTGACTGTGGCAAAGGGTACACTGTAGGAGAACATAAAGACATTAGAATTGATCAACAAATATGATATCACATAGGGCATAGGACATGAGCTACACTGTTATATTTAACTTGTTACAGGGGAGGAAAATCATGGATACACTATCACATCAGGAAATGAATTACTGTTCTTGATTGAAATGTTTTGTCATGATTTATACAAATTTAAAAAATTTAACTTTATTACATATTAAGTGCAAAACAAGCTTAACTAACGCAATCTGTATAGTATAAGCTAACACAATTTGTATAGAAAAAGCTAACGCAATTTGTATAGGAAATAACTAAAGCAAATGCTAAGCCTAATTTGAAAGCAGTATCAATAAAGATAATAATACATTACATAGTTTTTTTTGGAAGCAATCTAATGATTAAACTAAAAATACATTAGTTCTACATTACAGCAAAAATTTAGCTTACATAAAATTATGTTTCATTCTCACACATGGAGCATTTGAAAATCAAAACCAAATTCTTGTATCATGAAATATTTGGAGAGAGTAAGTATTATTAATTAACATTACCATGTCTAACAGGTAGGATTGTTATGGAGGTGTGGGTTCAATTTCCTCCTTCAACATATATATATATATATATACACACATATATATACACACATATATATATATATATAATACATATATATAAACTTGTTTTAAGAAGAACAAACAATTGTGATTTTATTATGTGAACTATTTTGAAACTTAAAGAATTGAAAGTGACACAAATGTGCTGTCACCAGTAGCTGTTCCCTAAGGTGAGATTGTAATTTAGGAGACCCACAGTTCAACCCCCCTCCCCCTCCCTCACATCTTGTAAAAGAATTGTGTTGGTAGCTTACAGGCCAGGAAGCTGTTGTAGTTTAAACTAAATACAGAATCAAAATTTAAAGACCATTTGTATAACGAATTAATGTAGCCTTATAAGCCTATGGAATATGTCATGAAAATTAACATTTTATGTGTATGAATGTATTATACAGATATGTATTGAATTTGTGTCCATTTTATGAATAATCTATGAAAGACAATAAACAAGCAACACATTTCCCCTGTTAATACTAAGCTAAGGAAAAAATCATCAAAAAATCAGTTATAAACAAAAATTAAAAATAGTGCTTTTTAAAAAAAAAAGAAAAATGAAATGTAGAGAAAATATTGTAGTATAAGAAATACACAAAATTAAAAAAAATAGAAAAAAACTGTCAGTATGAAAAAAAAAATCACACAAAATCATTGTCAAAGTAATTCCAGCAGAGATTTAACAGTAAAGCTTTAAAGAAACATCCAAGAAATAAAAAAAGCAAACAACCACAGACCCTAATTAATAAATTAACTTAATGAGCAAAAGTGTAACACCCTACCTACACATAATTTGCATATTGTAACAATAAAACTCAATTCAGCATACATTTAACATCCTTGTAGATCCAGAAACAAAAAGTTATAATTAGTTATATTGTTGGTGGCAGAAATATGAAAGTTATCATCAATTGCTATTTGCATGTGTAATTTTAAATTTTCCTATTGTTTTACAGGAATTTCTCATTTTTACACAATATCACAAAAACAAGTTAAAAAGGGAATGAAAGAAAGATTTCTAAAACCACCATCACACAAAAATATACATGTCAATAATATTTGTAAACAAACTTTTTGTCTACATATTGTAAAGAGTAGAGGTCACAGCCAGTTTATTACATTATATAAAATAGATTCAAATGTGGTTTATTTTTAGTTAATTTAAAATAAAAAAAAGATTTGTTTTGTTAGTCTTGAAAAAAGGGGAAACCATCAAGAAATATGTTAAGATTGTTATGCAGTTTCAAAATATAATCATGCCAAAATTTTTAAGGAGAAACAAAATGTAAGAAATTTTGCCAACACAATCAACAAATTAAAAGAACTCTCTTTGACACTCCTTTATTTTACATTTCCTGAAGTTGTAACTAGTTAACCGTGAGACTGATATATAGTCTTCCTTTTTACCCTTATTGGAAAAGATTGCTATAGTTACAATCTTATGATGACTCCATGGACTAGTTAAATCAATGCTGATGTAATTAATATAAATGTGCAATATCCTCCTACGGTATTAAATAAAGAAACATTCTTTTTACATTGGAATTAATATCAAGTGATTTCGTTTAAAATAAATTAAAAGCTACTGATAAAATTACTGAAACAAAACAGATCATTAAACTAAAAAAAAAACCTACCATTTTCTAACTTTCCAACTCTATACAATGTAAAATTTAAAAATATTTTTACGCAAACATCAAAATAAGCAAATATGTTAGCTACCAATACATATCTCTTCAAATAAATTGAATCCTACGAACCAGATTTGCAGTTGTAATACTTCTAAAAGGGCACCAGAGATAGGAAGCTTTAAATGCTGGTAACATCCAGAGAGAACCAGTGCATATAGAAATTGCGCCACTGTCCCCTGCGGATGCACAGTACCAAATGTTGCTGCAGCAGTTTTTGAAAGCTGTGATGTTACAAGACTTGTGCTGGTAGATGTCAGTGATGTGATTCCTCCGTTATCAAACTGGCTGTCTGTTCTCTGTCAAGATCTCGAACTCTGAAACACAAGCGATTTAAAAATAACAGAATTGGTGAAAAATAAATGAATTAAAATAACTTTAAATGATAACTCATATATCGTAAGCTCAATAGGAGAAATAATATATATATATATATTTTAGTTACTACAGTTCATCATTTTTCCCATTGGTGCCCAAAAAACATAAAATAGAGTTCATCTGTTTCAATGACCTCAGCATACAGTCGGATATGTGGTCAGCACTATGCCCAGTCGCCTTTGCTTCCCTATCATGAGTTAGGTACCCGTCGGATCTGGGTGGACTCAGGGACGTTCTACTGACTTGGACCCGGATTCAAACTCAAGACTTCCGGGTTAGCAGTCAAAAGCTCTATTACTAGGCCATGCTTCTGTTACTACATTTAACGACTTAACAGGAAACACAATTTTTAAACTTACATTTTATTTACATGAAGCATTACTTGCTCATTACCATTAACAATTTAAAAACACTTGCTTATTTCCATCAACAATTTACAACTACTTGCTATATACATTAAAAGTTTACAACTACTTGCTCATTTACACTACCAGTAGACAAACCCACCAACCTGACTATAGTTCGCCTGCGACAAAGAAATTGCAAAGCTTTCTTCACCCCAAGCATGACCGGGTCCCAGTTCTCCCAGTGTGTTAAAAAACTGACCACGACAAAAGCAAAGATGATTGGGATTAACCCAAGATAGAACAGGACATTGAGATGGATCTGTGGACATTGAAAACACTTCACAATCAGCAGATAGACTTACAAAACATTAATGATATTAATGATTAGGCAAAGTAAATCCTCAACACTTGGCATACCATATGAATAAAACAATGGGTAACTAATCCATAAAGGCTATATTGGCAGACAAAAAAGCTACCTAAAAAAATACTGTATTGCTCTGCCTTAAATTACAGAAGCTATAATTTTTAGTTTGCAGAAGTCCCTTCTTTAAAGGAAAAATGTAAATGATGAATTAATATCTTCAGGGACATCAACAATATTAATAGTGATCATTTAGGTTTAAGAAAAAACTTACATCTTTAATTATGGCATCAACAAGTATGTTAAGTGGAATGACCAATCCTATCGACAAAGTTCCGATCAGGGAAGATGTTAAAAAACAGCCTCTGAAATAGAAATGGGAAAAGTTATAAAAACAGTTTCTAAAATGATATTTATGTAAATTTATACAAAATGTTTTTAAAAAAAAAAACAGGTCTGAAATAGAATTATTCAGGATATAGGGGCCTATAACAAAAGTCCAGAAAATACATTTTATAAAATTTTTTTTACATGCTTTTAAAGAAATGTACTGTCTAAGAAAAAGACAGCAAAAAAAAAAAAACTAGCTTACTTCTGTAGAAATTACCTGTTATAGTAGATTCACATGATAAAAATATATACAACATATACACATAAAATAATAATCCTGAGTGGTAAAAACAAAGAAAATCAACTTACAATAACCAAACAAACTCAGCAAAAACTGTGCCAATAGCCCCATTCAATAAAAAATATATCCACTGCCTTCTGCTTGGCCACTCAAAGGGTTCTTGTTTGGAATAGTGTAAAATTAAAAACCCTGGCCACATCACCAAGGTGCATATAATTCCAACAAAACCTGTAAATATATTGAGTGAATAATATTTAGGCCTTTCCTTGAAATAACATAAAAAAGTATGCATAAATGACAATATAGAGAAAAAAATGTAATAAACATTGCTAGTCTATAATTTAAAAAAAAAATACATTTTCAAGAAATAAAATTAAAAAGCAGAGTAAAATTTAAAAAAATGCATAAACGTTTTAGAGGGAAAAAATCAAACATAGTATAAAAACTTTGATTTCCATACTATTTTAAACAACTAAAACCCAGCCGAAGTTTACCTAGAAACATTGGAATATCCATCTTGTCCTCCGTGTCCACATTCCTCCGTATCATGACCAGATAGAGTGAGTACAAGACAGCGCTGATGAGAGCCCACAGAGCCCCACTGGGGAACCTTCCATCCAGCCTGACATCAGACTCAAACACCATGACGACACCTGAAATGCTGAAAATAATGGCAACACTGTAGTGACCAGTGGTCAGCACCATGCTGTGGTACAGTTGTAAAGTGCCTATGCTCTGTGTGGTAAATTTATTAGTGCAGGGTGACAAAGGTCTGACTAGTAATGAGATTTTGAGGTTACTGGCATGAAATATAAAGTTTTATCTACATTGTTTTCTTGTTGATATATCAATAACATCAATGGTTCATTTTCTGCAGTTTTTATTACGTTAAGAATTTTTTCTAAAATTACAGGCAATTTATTAAATTAAAACTAACTAAAAATGCCTCTGCTATTGGATTAGGTTTTGATTATAATGTAACAAATCTAGTGATATCCAAAAGGAAAAAGTTCCATAGACAATACAAAATGTTTTTTTAGAATTCAAACATTTAAATAAAATGAAATAATAGTAAAAGGTGTTTTTTTAATAATATTTTTCTTAGATTGATGATATTTTATTTATTTATTGTAAATTTTTGACCTATTCAGAATCAAGAATCCAATAAACTTTCAAGTATAATGCTTTTTGTTCTATGTTTGTAATATATGTGGGTAATTTTTTTTTTAATAAAATGTAAAACAGAAAGGTTCGCAGTTTTAAAAAAATGCATTCTTTTTGCCTCGCTTTAACGAGATATAAATACATTTCATGCCATATGTTAACATAATTATGTAATGACTTATGAAAAGTCTACCAGCTATAACCATAAATCTTTCAGCTATAACCATAATTCTTTACCCCAACTTAGCTTACCTTAATATGACAGCAACAAATTTAGCTATAACCATAATTCTTTACCCCAACTTAGCTTACCTTAAGATGACAGCAACAAATTTAGACAATGTAAATTTATCCATGGCGCCACTGGGAAACACAGCAGCACAAACTAAAACGAAGAGACCTGACGTTGACGACATTACGTTAGCCACACCAACGTCACTCTCCTGTATGGCTATCTGGTATGTGTAATTTGCAAAAAACCACTGGAACACAATTTCAACAAGTGTAAATTTTTTTAAAACTTTTAAATAACAGGTAATATCTACCTTATTAATAACAATGCAATTTAACTTAATTACTATTAAAAATAATTTCTATTGGAATAGTTCACCAAACTTTCAGAGAGAATATAAACAATGTAGCAATGAATTTTTTTTTTTACCAGAAAACAAAATAAAGAAGCCAATTTGGCAACTTGAGCTAAAGGCAGCCTGTTCTGTAGCAAGCTCAACTTTTCAGCTGCCTGGATACTGGCTTGGTATGACAGCCTGGCCAGATTGTGCTCCACTGCATAGGTCTCTAGAGAAATAATTAAAACATTTGATTTAAAAATAATGAGAAACAAGAGTCTAAATTGTGTTGTATATTAATGCTAATAGAACTTAGTATAATAATGTTGAAAAAAATGAAACAGGAAAAGTCACCTGACCATAAAATTTTTAGTTAATATTACAACATCACATTGAATTATAAAAACTAACAAGTCATTTTTTATTACATTTTTTAAAAAGCTATAAATTGAAAAATTTTAAAAATTAAATACTTCATAGAAAGTACGGGCTACTAATGACAAAAAAATATTTTTAGAACGTACCAGAGAGCTGACGTACTTCAGAGAGATTACTGAACCTGACAGACTTACAGTTTCCTCCACCTAGGAAAAAAAGGTTGAATTATTTTTATAATTAAAATAATCTAATCAGCAACATCACATGGCAGAATTAGATCTTATAGTTGGTATGTAAAGAGATTCAGAATGTGTTTTGCACTACTTAAGGGAGATAACTCGTACATATTTCTTGCCTCAAAAAATGTATCAACTCACATTACATAACAAAAAATAAGGAAAGAAAATAGCTATTTCACACTTACTGCTAGCATCATCAGACTCTCCACCACTTGTGTGGCTGTCATAGTTATCATACTTGAGTGGGACATAAATGGGTGAGCCCTGAAATATTTTAAGAGACGTGATATAGAGAATACATATAGTGTACAAATAAAGATCTCTGAAATATTGGAACATATAGAAGTAGGCCTTGAAATATTGGGATATGTATAGGAGAGCTGTGAATTTTTGAAGGCACATATAGAAGAGCGCCCTGAAATAATGGGACACATAGAAGCAGCCCCTAAAATATTTAAGTGGACATATAAAGGGCCCTGAAGTACTGGAACGTGTAGAGGTGAGTCGTTAAGTTTTTAAAAGCAACATATAGAGAAGAGCCCTGAAATAGTGGAAACACTGTTACATAAAACAGTAGATAATCTCCAGCATTACTGACATCTTTATCATGATTGTCAAATGATTTTTAACCTGATTAAATACAAAACAATTATCCATGTGCATAACATTTTTTTTAACCATTAATGTCCCATTCATTCTACCAAAACTCCACCCATGACGGCCCAATGTAAGGAGCATAACTCTGTATGATCAAGTGAATAGTTTCACAAAATATTTGTTTTTGTCTAAATGAAATTGAAAATTAAGATAAAAACTACTGCATAATGTTGGGAATAAACCTGGCTTTCCAACAGTATTAAATAGAATATATTATATTCGGTACAAGTACAGTATAAAAATAAAAATGTCGGAGAAAATTCAAAACAGGTCATTTTCGGTAGTCAACTTTATTTATTTTTGTCTAAACAACTATGCATCGAATTTAACAGTTAAATATCAATTTGGTTATGTTTAAGATATATAATTCATAAAATACATGCCTAGATACGTTTAGAGGGATTATTTTATTTTATTTTTAATATTAAATCTACTAAAAATAGGACAGATGAGTCTAAAATTTCGAGATGGAAAGAAACTATTATTTTTTATCTTTCAAAAGCGCCATTGAAATTAGAAGACCGGAAAAGGATGCTGAAACTATCAGACTTCCTGTTTAGTTAAAAATTAGGATTTGTAGGCCAAATTTTAATGAAACAAATTTAATTTTTCTATGCGTATTGTAAGCGGGCGGCAGCGGGCGTTACGGGACATTAACGGTGTCGGGCGGCAGCGGGCGTTACGGGACATTAATGGTTAAAGTGCAAATACGCAATAATTTTTTTCTTAAAAACTCCTCTATAAACAGAATTTTAGTTAAGCAGTGCTGGTTAAAAATTAAAACACAATTATCTATTTTAAATAATTTAAAAAAAGAAAATTATGTATCACTAACCAACATGGTGTCTGGTTCTGCTGGTGAAGCGATTGGTGTTGTATCCTCGCTTGCAATAGGCATCTATAAAAATAGATAGTAAACAAAATATTAGTTGATGCATTTTGACACATTTATCTGACATATATAAAAGGCTATTTTCAATTTTTTGAAAAACAAAAAAAAAATTAAATTGGACAACATAGCTCTTAACGGCATCCAAACATAAATTTGTTAAGCATATAGTATTTTTATAGTAAATTGAAACAATTTTTATTGACTGAAGGAGTTAAAGCAATTTGTTTTGTCCTAACATGTGTGAGTGAATGTGCATGAATTACATCCAAATAAATTATAGTTATTTTACTTATGTTGTATAAAAATCAGGCTTGTTTACAATTGATAACATTTTTATCTGAATCTTTATTTTGCTCTACCAAGTTACCAAGATTAAAAATGTAAGCATTTCATGTTGATCACTGGTAGATTTCGGCTGTCATTAATAATATTTTTGTATATTGTGCATTATAACACAATCACTGGATGGAAAATTTATTTAAGATAGAAAAAGATCACTGGCCTATACCTTTTTTAAACAGCATTGCTCTCTCCATGGTTTCCAGATGATGAATCCAAAGAGATACAACGAGAACATAACAGTCTTGATATAAGTGGTAAAGAATGGTTTGCTGTAATGGGAGTCTTTAAAAATATACTGAAATAAATATTGAAATACAGATTTAAATCAATCAACAACATTTACTATATAATAAATTAGAAATGTAATTTAAAAAAAAAATCAAATTATCTAATCTCTAAAATAAATTTGAAATGTAATTTAAAAATTCTAACTATAATCAAAATAATTTGATCTGGAAAAATAAACTTCTTTATAAAATTCCATATTTTTGTTTAGGGGTCATCCATAAATGACGTCACACTCGTTGGGGGGAGAGGGGGTCTGTAATTTTGTGACGATGAGGGGGAGGGGGGGTTTCAGATGTTGCGACGTCACACTTTTACATTATAAAAAAGCAATGTTACAAAACGAATTTTAGACGTTATTTCGCGTTTTAGATAACTGTTTTAGTAAATTGTAATAGTTTAGATAAGATTTTAGAAAAATATTGATGTTTTAGAAAAATTCAACTGCAATTTTGAGGGGGGTTGTAGGTTGAGATGTGACGTCATTTTAGGGGGGGGGGGGTCTGGCTATTTGTGACGACGTGTGACGGAGGGGAGGGGGGGGGGGAGGTAAAAATCGTCCAAAAAAGCGTGACATCATTTATGGATGACCCCTTACTAGAATATCAAAATTCTGTTTATCATGAACGGTAAAAAAAATAACTACGTTCAATGCTAGTGGACAGACTATATAATCGCATTTTGCTCTCATGTATAATAATAATATTATTACTTATTCTAGCCTGTCATGTTAGAAATCTGTTTCTACTAATGAAATCTCACCTTCGTTACCTCGCCTGACACAACCCAAACTATATCAACAATCAGGAGAGCAATTATGCCCAGCAGTAGACGATTAGTCTTGTTGAGTCGACTTAGTCCAAGCATACTTGTTGTCCGATGAATGTACCGTTATGTTCAAACATTACTTATACACTAGACTATTCTGTTATAGTATAGGTCAACATGGTCCATCGCAGTTACATTGCAAATCTTATTTAATATTTATAGTCCTGGCTTTTTTCTCTGAAACGTAAACAAAACATTACTGGTAATTACTTACATTACTTAACTAAGAATCTTGAGAATGACGATTTAAAAAAATAAACATCCTTAAGATAATTTTTTTGATGTAAAATAGGGTGCCTACTTAATTATTTTAATATTTTAGCCTATTATTATCCCTAACCCTAAAAAAAGGGCAACAAACGAAAAAGCTAGGGCCTAATAATAATAATTAATTAATTAATAACTAGGCCTAGACTGGAGGATGATCTGTTGACTGTTGTGTTTATTAATCTCATAAGTCATTCTCAGTCACATTCATATTGCCAGATTAACCTCATCATTGTCAAATGACAGTCTCTTGCTAGTCGAGTCTATACTATAGTATTGATTATTGAAAGTGTCTGTGTTGTGACAGCTGTCTCTTCATCATAACGGTGAATCATGCATGACTGTACTACTAGATCTAGATCTCTAATACTAGATTTCAACTAGACTCTAGAATCTAGAATAGATTTAGTTCGGTCACTTACGTCTTACTTCACTGAATCACTACTTCAGAATCAGTGTCATCAGGAGTGAGAAAAGGTAATTATCTTTTTTGAATGACTAATCTTACCTAGAAAGAGATATCATAGTGAAGACTCTCTGAAATTAGACTTGATCCTAACAATGTCAAAACATATGTGGATGGATAGGCCCTAATCTAGATCTAGAAATCTAGATCTAAACAATAGATCTAGAATCCAGATTTGAGAAATCTAGCAGTCTAGAGGAAATTAAATACCGATTGCTTTCGGAAACGTACCGGAAGTCATCACTTTAGTTGAAGAAAAATACTTTCGAATATTTACTTGAATAAAAAAAAATACAGAAGAGCGTTTAGATCACGGGTTCCCAACCTGGGGGTCGCGACCCCCCTGGGGGTCGCGAAGTGCTTTCTGGGGGGTCGCCAACTGTTATACTAAACCTTAGTAATGAGAAACAAAAAATAAATATTTAGAAGAATATCTGAAATTCGGCTTTACTAACAACACTGGAAATGGAATAGAGAAGAAGCAATGATTACTGTACAAAGTTGTTCTCATTCACGAGTTTATGAACTCTTCAAAACTAAAACGTCATTTGAGACGAGTCATTCGGAACACACCAAAAAAAGATATAGAGTTCTTTCGTCGACATGAAGCTAGTTGCAAACGTCAGAGACTTGATCGAACTGGAAGTTTTCAAGAAGGAAACAGAGCATTAGTGCAAGCATCATGTGAAGTCGCGATAAAAAATGTCAAGCAAAAAAAAAAAAAACACAATAGGAGAAAATCTTATCAAACGCTGCATGTTGAAGATGGTGAAGTTAATTCTTGGGGATTCCAGTGCAGTAAAGATGCAACAAATATCTCTCCCTAATAATGATATTCAGCGGCTTATAGCAGACATGTCCGTAGATGTTAAATAACACATTTTGAATGTAATCAAGCTTTCACCATTGTTTGCTTTTCACGTTGATAAATCAACAGACGGGAATTTGTATTCACAGTTGCTGGTCTGTGTCTATATTCATTCAGATGATAGCAAAGAAGAGTTGCTATTTTTTGAAGATAGTATGGACAAAAATAAATACGTTTTTCGAAACTGGATGATTAAAATGGGTTAAAACGGCTGTGGGGGTTTGAACGGATGGTGCGCCATTTATGTTTTGGTCAAAATCGGGCTTTCAGAAAACAGAAAAGATTTAGCTACCTAACCACTGCCTTCGCCATCAAGACTCCATTCATTGCTAGTAAAAGTCGTAACTTATATTAAATCTGAAGCTTTCAAAGAAATGTGCAAATACATTAATAAAGATTTTTTCTACACTACATCAAAAGGAAATGTAAATCGTGTTGTTAAATTGAAAGCTGAAATCAATTTGTCCTTCGAAGTACAAATGAAACAAGACCCTTTTGGTATACTTAAAACGACATAGAGTGGTTGGAGAGAGTATCATACCTAGCAAATGTATTCGAACATCAACATAAGCTTAACCTGAAGCTTCAGAGAAAATGAAAGAATATTATCACTTTCCATGATAATCTCGGGGCATTTTTATCAAAGCTGCAAAATCGGCGAAGAAAATAAATCTTGGAAATATTGCCATGTTTGAGATGAATCTGTTTGTGAGATAATTAACATTTTGAAACAAGCGATTTCTGGGCATCTTGAATCTCTTGAAAACGAAATGCAGCGCTATTTCTCTGTGCTGAAAAAAGAAGAATCTGCATTGACGCATTACCCATTCTCTTCTTCCCTTGATGTTGCCAGTATTCCCGATGAATTACAAGATTAATTCTTTGATTTGCAGAATGATTCCGCTCAAGATGAAAAACTGCACACACAATTTTGGTGCAGTATTCACCATTCATACCCAAACGTAATATTGATTGACTTTTCGAGAATAGATTTTCAACACCATTCTCCGATTAAAAACCAAATTAAGGAATAAATTGAATGTTGATAATGAAATAGGTTGGCGTTAACAAAAACTTAACCGCGAATGTTTAGTAAATAACTCGCAATTTTACTCATGGTATTAAAACACTTATCAAGGGTAGTTCATATTGAAAGTCTACTAGAAAAATCTGATTTTAGTGCTTATAAATTTCCATGCTAATTTCGGCTTTGTAATTATATGGGGGTCGCGGGTCACTTACTTTTTATAAAAGGGGGTCGCCACTTGAAAAAGGTTGGGAACCACTGGTTTAGATCTTGATCCATTTTGGTGAATTTTGATGATAATAATAAATCGAAATACTTACTACTTGAAAAAACATTCAAATATTAAATTCTAACAAATATTTTCCAAAAACTTGAAATGATGAACAGCTTTTATTTAAACATTGTAATGAAAATAGTCCCATATATAATATAAATTAGGCTACAGCTGGCTCGGAGACCTGGGGGGTTACAAAGTCAAATAACAACAGACTACAGTCGTTCACAAATAGCATAGATGACTTCACACATTCTTAAGATGAGATGATCCAACAAAATTTCCTACAACAAACAAAAAAGCAATAGCAGGGATATTAAAGCTTGCAAATGGGGATGGATCGAGCATGCCCTGAAAAGGGAAGTGGTCAACAACGTGAGGAACCACAAGGGGTAAATTAAAGTAGACCGTCCAAAGCAAACCTGCAAAATGACAGTGGCTGACAGTGGGAGGAGAAGCAAAGGCTGCTGGGCTTACCTGGGCTCAACTAAAGAGAGTTGCTCAAAGCAGAGACCGGTGGGGATGTGTAGCTACAACCCTTAGCTCCCGAGAGGCTCAAAAGGATTCAGGTAAAAATAAAATTTAAACCATAATCATGTAGTCTATTAAAAAGACCAGTTAAATCGTTATGCTTAGCTGATTTTCGGGTTAATTCATATCTTAATTTATGATTTAAAAAAAATTATTTATTTTAAAAATTTATAATTAATAATTTATGTCTTAGTTTATGATTCTACTAGGGTCTTAGACTTTTTTTTATAGCGACATCAAATTTTAGATAGATGTAACTTATAACAGCTTCAGTACTCTATACAGTTGATATAGGCCTGTATGTAAAACTGGAACTAAAATTTGATATACTATTTATCATATACGGCATATTTTCCAAACATAATACAAAACTACAGGAAAATAGCCGATTTAGTATGTTAGAAATAAAAGCAAATAACGAAACACTTAAAGTTATAAATTCGTAGCTGCACATACTATTCGTGTGGTTAGGGTGGGGGGGGGGGGGGTGGGGTGGGTGGGGGGAGAAAGAGATATGGTGCATTTTATCTAGTAACACAGACAATATATTTGATCAAGTAATTCAAAAACAAGTAAAGGTGCGAAATTTTATCAAGCAGTCTATCTTTGCAGATCAAATAATTTTAATGATAAAAAGTAATACAAACTACATACCAAAATATTTTAAAATCCGTAACATATTTTTCTTCAAAACAAATTCTAATATTCTATATTTGATATGGAGTCTTATTACTGTTCGGTAGGTTCGATCGCTAATTAACCACTTGATTTTACATGACTAATCGTATGCTGGTAAATTAAGGCTTATTGTTGTTTGTGAATACCCGCAGGATTATGTTCATAACCTAGGCATATTTCTAACTAGTAGTTACTGATGTAGACATACTGTATTTGTGTTCAATAACATTGTCAATCATCTTTCCCCGTTCGTGCCCTAGACATTTTAGGTAGATGGAGTAGAGTTCATCTGATTCAGTAACCCCGGCATGTAGGAGGATAATGTGGTTATAGCTAAGCCGTCTTAGTTTGCCTAATGTGAGTCAGGTACCCGTCAGAGACATCTTGTAGAACCCGGGATCAGAACTCTAGATTTACTGGTTAACAGTCGTAAACTCTACCATACGACCACGTCTTACATCAGCATTGTTGATAGACGATCTAAACAGAAGCGGAGTTGGTGTGGTTGAGGTATGGCGTTGTGAAACTGCTTGGTAGGCCTACTACAACATTGTGTTTTATCATCAACACAAAAAGGAACACATCCCCTAGCTTGGGTATGGAGCTACTGTGGTGAAAGAAAATGCGTACATACTTTTCTAGAGGCACGTAGGTTATTGTTTTAATAAATTAATTAAGAAGTTGTATTTGGCGTCAGGTGAATATTATAATCCGATATACCTCCAATCTTCTTTCTGTGAAGCAGCCGATTGTGGAGAGTATATTTAACTCTGATAAGTTAAACTGTTAAACAGTGTTTGTAGAATTCAAGAGTGATGACACACCAAAATTAGATTCTTGAAAATGAGCATCACGCTCTTTTTTAAATTCGCCATTGAGCATTTGAAGATGCTATTTGTTCTTTTTAGGTACGAGAGCTTCTATGTTCAAATTGAAGAGTTAAGGGCGATGGTTTGGACAAGATTTTATGTTTTTGTTTTTGGCTTTGAAGATACTTTGATCTGTATTACTAATGACTTGAACATATGGTGGTGGTCAAATTTGTATCATGTTGCTTGATCTTTCACGTAAGACACGGGCAGTCTTTTCAAGTGGGACGGGATTGACAGCCACTCTGAACTTTACTTGCAGAAGACGATGATATACAAGTGGCATCGCTAGGTCGGGTGTCACCCGGTGCGGCACTTCGTGGGGTCACCCCCCCCCCCCCCCCGAATATATAATTTGAATTTATGCCGCATAATTAATCATGAATGCTCCTGGCAAAAAGCATTTTTACTTTCTCGTATATACGTAGTATAGAGAAAGTATTGTAATCGTGCAAAAAAAAAAATCGAGATTTTTACAAATCTCGACGTTTTACACCTCACTGATACGGAAAAACATAATTTTGCAATCTTGTCCGTATGTCTGTGTGTGTGTGTGTCTGTGTGTCTGTCCGTGTGTAAACACGATAACTTGAGTACCGTTACAGCTAGGTTGATGAAATTTCATATATAAGTATTATATCAAAATCGTAGATCCGTATCAACTTTTGAGCGATTTCCGACAAACGGAAGTGGTACTTTTTCTACTTTGAATTTTTCAAAAGCCTATAACTTGAGTACTATTTCAGAAAGATAAATGAAATTTCATACGTAAGTAAAAGATCTAATTCTCTACCTTCTGTCAAATTTTGAGTCATTTCCGTTGACTGGAAGTAGTACTTTACGCTACTTCCGATTTCTCAAAAAACGCATGTAAATTTTAAAAGTAATAATAATATTGCGCACTATTATGCGCTTTTTTATTTGGCGTTCACTTGGTGTGCAATTAATTTGTCTACGAGATTTTATTCTATTTTTAAAACTTTAAGTATTTAAAATGGATTAAAAATCATGTCTATAGCCCGAGTTCCCATCCCCTGTTATTTTATATAAGAATATTCGAGAAAGTTTAGGGGAGATCACTCCCGGTTTATTCTTCTGTACATTTTGCAAATTTTTTGGCATGGTGTCACCCCTAAATGGTGTCACCCGGTGCGGTCCGCACCCCCCGCCCCGCTCTCGCTACGCCTCTGTGGTATTCCTCGTACTTCTGGAAATATAGACAGACTTGACCTATATCGATTATTTCAAAATGTTTCTAAAATCATATTTCTTTAAAAAAAATAACAGAAAAGTTTTTTTGGTAGATTAAATAAATAATAGATATAATAATCTATAATGAAATCATATTATTAAAAACACGGAGACCAGATTTTCATTAAAAATATTTTACGAAAAAAATCTTAAATAATGGATGTATTCAACAGAGCAGATAAGTCCATATTGTGAGGAAATGGAACAGAGGTGACAAAAAGAGCGGTAACTGCAAAAAATAATATTATGAGTAGGCCTATCTGAGAGCGAGCGCAACACGTACAGATAACTCGTGTTAGACCGTCGCCGGGTGGATCAGCATAAAGGGATGAGCGCGGTTACCTCCCGTGGCAGGCGACGTGCGTTCACTCGTGTGGAGGCGTTGGTTACAAGATGAGGCAAGGGAGACAAATTTGTGAACTCGCGCAAAGCGAGAGAACTCGGGTAGGTGGAGTGTGTGAAATCGACTGACGTCATTAACAGATTATTATATTTTTATATTTTGCATTCAAGGAGATTATAGGGTGGAATTTTATTTTTATGTGTGACAATATCAATCAAAACAATAATTTCATGCTCCACATTTGTTAAGGTAAGTTGTTTTAAATTTTTAGTTACATAAACTTAAACGGATTGTGTAGCCTAAAATATTTTAGAAGTAACTCGGGACTAGAGTTAAATTATAAAGTAATTAATTTTAATTTCGACTGAAAAGTAGATTAAATGAACGTTATTTACAATAAAATAAAAAAATAAACTTATGAAAAAATGGCGCATCTTTTATTGATTTTTTTCTCTTTAATATAACAGAATAAAATGTAAACAGTTACTGTTGTAATTTTTTGTAGTAGAGTGGGATTTTTAAACATTCTGAAAGTTAAATGAGACTCAAATAATTAAAAACTTCTTTATTCCCGTTTTTTAGTAACAAGTTCAATTCTCTACTTTAATAGTTAGACTAGAAAATTCTTTAAAAAAAGCGTTTGTTATTCTATGGGTACAGTGTAAAACGGCTGGTATGTTATGCTTGTCTATCTTTCATGGTTTTCACCTGGATAAAGCCATAACTCACCTGAGGTGTTGATAGACGGCTTGATGTGGCCCAGTACATAATGGATGGTAGAGAGAAAGGGGGGGGGGGGGGGGAGAGAGAAAGAGGAGGGAGAGAATAGTGGCTAATTTTACCGTCGTCATGTTTGAACTTATTATTTTCGGGGATTTTATCCAAGTCCTAAGATTTAATAAATGATGAAAACTAATCTGTTACAAAGGAGCATTTAGTTATATTTATCAGTAAGGTTGCGTACATAAAAGATTTGAGTATCATTTAACATTTAACTCTTACCCAATCTACTGATTGTATATAGTGTTGAAATAACAACAAAAATCTGTACACACGTGAAAACGAGTCTCGTGCAAATTTAATCTAGCAGTTGTCAAAAACTATAGTTCAAGTAATCGTTTAATTGAAACTAAGTCAAAAGTAAAAAAAAAAAAAAAAATTAAAAAAAAAAACCGGGAGTGATCTCCCCTAAACTTTCTCGAATATTCTAATGTAAAATAACAGGGGATGGGAACTCGGGCTATAGACATGATTTTTAATCCATTTTAAATACTTAAAGTTTTAAAAATAGAATAAAATCTCGTAGACAAAAGAATTGCACACCAAGTAAACGCCAAATAAAAAAGTGCATAATAGTGCGCAATATTATTAGTACTTTATAAATTTACATGCGTTTTTTGAGAAATCGGAAATAGCGTAAATTAGTACTTCCGGTCAACGGAAATGACTCAAAATTTGAAAGAAGGTAGAGAATTAGATCTTTTACTTACATGTAAAATTTCATTTATCTATCTGAAATAGTACTCAATTTATAGGCTTTTGGAAAATTCAAAGTAGAAAAAGTACCACTTCCGTTTATCGGAAATCGCTCAAAAGTTGATACGGATCTACGATTTTGATAAAATAGTTATATATGAAATTTCATCAACCTAGCTGTAACGGTACTCAAGTTATCGTGTTTACACACACACAGACAGACACACAGACAGACACACAGTCATACGGACACGATTGCAAAATTATGTTCTTCCGTTTCAGTGAGAGGTAAAACTTCGAGATTTGTAAAATTCTCAATTTTTTTTTTTGCACGATTACAAGACTTTCTCTATAGGCCTACTTCGTATAATCGAGAAAGTAAAACGGTAGTAATGCAATTACACATGTGTATGGGTGTGTTTACTTTCGCTTCCACCGAATGCCGGATGAGCGATACTTTTGGATGAGTTTCACTATCTCCGGGGGGGGGGGGGGGCACTTTAAATTTTCGGGGTTGGGGGGGGGGGGGGTTGGGGGGGCGGTAGACTTTCTACGGGGGGGGGGGGCGGACACTGTTAAAAGTATATATTTTCTATATAAATTATATAAATTTCATTTCGTTCGGGGGGGGGGGGGGGGGCGTTAGAATTTTTTTCGGAGGAGGGGGGCCCCCGAAGAGATGCCTGGAAGAAACTCTGACTGAAACCCAACAGTTTTATATGCGCATTCACCGAACCCTTATTAATAGTTCTATCGTCTGCACTGACGAAATGTGATCGTGAATCACATGAGTCGGGAGTTTGTCTTGACCTCCGCCGAATCCCTGAGACCGATCCCCGAACCCCTGGGGTTCAATCGGGCCCAGGTTAAGAACTAATGTACTTCTCCAATAGCAGAAGAAAATGATTTGTTTCCCCTGTACAATTTACACATTTTTATTTATGTCATCGTCTTGCCCGATGTCACGTGATGTGGTTGTTGTGATGCAGGTTTGGGGGCGGGGTCGACCTTGTAGGACAACGTAGTTCCACAGGGGGCAAAAAAGTCTACCGTCACCCCGAATGAAATATAGTTTATAAATAAAATATAAAAACATACTTTTATCACTGTTCGACCCCCGGGAATTTTAGTCTGACCGCCACCCCCCATTAATTTCCAGTGCCCCTCCCCCCTGTCTGGAAGAAACATTGTCTATGGATCCGCGTTTTTCTACAAGGTCGACCCCGTCCCAAACTCGTATCACAACAGTGGTCTGTCCCCTCCCCCTCCCTCACGCGGATGTGATGTTACAGATTGTGACACACACCCCTCAGATAACCAATACACCCATTAAAGTCATCACAAGATCATATTTAGAGCACCACATATCTGTATCTGAGAGGACTGAGGGGTTAGTTCTATGTGGTTAATAGACTGTCGTCTTTGCATATACTGGCCCGTTCCCCCATGTCAGCTATAAGCTACGCATATGAAAAGCTACGCATATGAAAAGCTACGCATATGAAAAGCTACGCATATGAAAAGCTACGCAAATTAAAAGCTACGCATATGAAAAGCTACGCAAATTAAAAGCTTCGCAAATTAAAAGCTTCGCAAATTAAAAGCTACGAAAATTAAAAATTACGCGAAATAAAAGCTACGCATATGAAAAACTGCGCATATGGAAAGCTACGAGAATTAAAATCAATGCAAATAAAAGCTACGAAAATTAAAAGCTACAAAAATTAAAAGCTACGCAAATTAATAGCTACAAAAAAATAAAAGCTACGCAACTTAAAAGCTAAGCAAGGTAAAAGCTACGAAAATATAAAAAAGCAAGCAAAATGAAAAGTTAGACATATGTAGAGGTACACATATGATTTTTTAATCAATTAATTCAAAGAACAAAAGCATTATAGACTGTTTGGCTTAAAATAATTTATTTTTGCTAAAATAAATCGAAGCAAAAAAAAAAGAAAAATTAAAAAAAAAAATCCCAGAAGACAAACAAATATGTAGGAGGCAAAACAAAAATAAAATAAGGACGCTAATTTTGTTTTTATTTACGAGAACTGACTGTATTATGTCCCTTGAAGCTTGTAGAAGTTTTTGCATAAACAGAACATTACCGACCCGAGTCAGAATTATATCTGTCAGCTACCGGAGTTAGCTATACATTCTTGAAATCACACATACAAAAATCAATACACAAAAACAAAAGAGTGTAATAAAACACAAAGAACAATAGTTTATGACTTCTTGGAGAAGAAAAAAAATTTAAAAAATCTTTAAAAATCCCAGTGTCTATACATTTAAAAGAAAAAAAAGAAAATCTTTTGTTTTCACTTGCGATTAGGGATTGTATGACTGCTGAATGTAAGCTACCGTTTTACTGTAATGGATGCTGTTTCGTTGTCATTGACGCTGTTTCATAGTGTAGCTGTTTCATTGTCATGGTTCTGTTTCAAAGTGTCACTTGTTCTTTGTCAGTAACACTGTTTCATAGTTAGTGATTGTTTCAATTATGCTTTTTCACAAAAGCTGTTTAGGTATGGATGCAATGCTAGTTCATTTTCAGTGATGCGGTTTCAAAGTAAGAGATTGTTTCAATGATGCTTTTTTCACAAAAGCTGTTCAACTGTTAATGTAATAATTGATAATGTCATCCTGCCTGCACCCTGTTGTTGCTGTTGTTACACTGTAAGTGATGTAAGTGTCAGTGATGCGGTTTCATAGTTAGTATCGCTGTTTCATTGTCAGTCATGTTTCCTCTAAGCTGCGCAGTCGCGCAGTAGTTTTGAACCAGCCGCGCTGTAATTTTGTCAAATACATCCATCCTTGTATGAGACTTTTAGAACACCGCGCACACAAAATACAAGCTGCACACTAGCTTTTTACCAGGAATTTGTCAATGATGCTGTTTTGCGCAACGGAAAATTATGCGGAAAAAACCCATCGCCATTGAAAATTTTCATAAACAATTTTTATAGAACCCCCCCCACCCCTTCCCTATTGAAGAAGTAGAAAATGCAGATCAGAAAATACGCTGGAAAATAATAAAACTTTAATTTTGAAGAAATAAATGATTCATTTTTACTTAATGACAATTTACTAGTTTTTAGTGTTTGATTTAATACAGTGTATAGTACATAATATATGGTTAACTTAAAGAAAAACATACATAAGAATTTGAATACGCATTTTATTTCGCTCACCCCCTCCTTTCAAACAAATGTCAATGGCTGACCGATACTATGTTATATCGACACAAAGTTTTAAGACGTTTTAACTAGACAGCATAGACCTAAATCATACACAGTGGAACCAAAGTTTCTTCCAGACATCTCTTCTTCGTTCGGGTGGACTCAGAGACGTTCTACTGAATTGGACCCGAATTTGAACTCGAGACTTTCGAGTTAGCAGCCCAGTGCTCTACCGTTTAGGCCACGCCGTTCTCCATCCAACATATTATCTACCATTACATCAAATTTTAAGACGTTTTTGTTAACTTCATAGACCTTCAGCACGCTTAGTCGAGTGCAGCTGGTTTGTGCTTCATTCAACATATTTTATACCATTGCAAAAATACTAGAGTCCAACAGTACAATTGCTTAGAGTCCCATCCAACTTATTCTCGCCCAGTATA